CAAAACCCCATTGTGTTCATTAAACCTGGAAATTTAAGGGGTTAACTCACAATTCCAGTCAATTCATCCTAAATTATGTTGTTTAAGCAGCTATCCACAACAGGTAAGATACTTATGGTTCATAACTTGTGACAAGAAGAACTGTGAGAAAATGGTCACAGGACAATGAAGAAGCCCTGCGGGGTTGTTTTGAGACCACAGATTGGATGACTCTCTGCCAAGGATAAGAAGAGGACATCAATGCCATGACTGGATGTGTCACTGACTATATAAACTTCTGTGTGGACAACATCACACCCACCAGAACAGTGAGATGCTTCGCTAATAACAAACCCCGGATCACCAGTGAACTGAAGAATCTGCTAAATGAGAAAAAAAAGAGCCTTCAAGGAGGGAGACAGGGAATTATTGAGGAGTGTACAGAAGCAACTGAAGATCAAGATGAGAGACAGCAAGGAGGCATACAGGAAGAAGCTGGAGAACAAACTACAGAGGAACAATATCAGAGATGTCTGGTCAGGGATGAAGAAGATCACAGGCTTCAAGCAGAGGAAGGATTGCACAGATGACAGCCTGGACACAGCCAATGAACTGAACAACTTCTTCAATAGGTTCAGTTCAGGAACAAACCCAGCATCCTCCTTGCCTGTCTCCAGCCAATCAGACATCACATCCTCTTCTGATCCAACATTTTCCTGTCACACTCGAGCTCTTTTGTCCTCTAACACAGTCATGGACTCTTCTGGTTCTATAAATCTGTCTTCAACCAAGTCAGGAGATGCTACTGCCATATTTACCTCCCCCTCCCACCTATCTGTCTCTAGAAGTCAGGTGAAGAGGCAGCTGGAGAGACTGAACAGGAACAAGGCTGCAGGTCCAGATGGTGTCAGCCCCAGGGTACCGAAGGCCTGTGCAGAGCATCTCTGTGGGATTCTGCAGCACCTCTTCAACCTCAGCCTGGCCCAGGAGAAGGTTCCAGTCCTGTGGAAGACATCCTGCCTTGTTCCAGTTCCAAAGAAAACTCGCCCATCGGTCAATGATGACTACAGACCGGTTGCCCTGACATCCCACATCATGAAGGTCCTGAAGAGACTCCTGTTGGTCCACCTGAATAAGCAAACTAGGACATATCAGGACCCGCTGCAGTTTGCTTATCGCCATGGAGTTGGAGTTGAAGATGCCATCATCCAGCTGCTTCAACCAACCCACTGTCATCTGGACAAAGCAGGCAGCACTGTGAGGGTCATGTTCTTTGATTTTTCAGTGCATTTAACACTGTAATGATTTAAATTACATGTTATTTAATAAGCCATAAGGTGCTGGATTCCATAACAAATATGAAATCAACCTTATGGATCTGTGAGGTTGTTTTAAACCAGAAGATTGGAACTTTTTAATGCAGGGATTAGATAACAGCTTCATATTCACTCAGAGACAACAGAAGAGAGAGAGTCAAATTTAAAAGTTTAAAAATGTATTACTAAACAAATTAAACTAGACTGACTTTAAACACTAAATGTATGGTGTAACTAAGGAGGTTGAGACGGTCAATGGGGTGAGGTGTAATGTAGGCGACGGTGGCACAGGAGTTAAGTGCTCACCCCGTAATCGGAAGGTTGCAGGTTTGAGCCCCGCTCAGTCTGTCGCTGTGTCCTTGGGCAAGACACTTAACCCACGTTGCCTGCTGGTGGTGGTCGGACGGACTGGTGGCGCCTGTGCTCGGCAGCCTCGCCTCTGTCAGTGCGCCCCAGGGCAGCTGTGGCTACATTGTAGCTCATCACCATCAGTGTGTGAATGTGGGTGTGAATGGTTGAATGACTGGTTGTGTTGTATAGCGCCTTGGGGGGTTCCAGGACTTTAGAAGGCGCTATATCAAATACAGGCCATTTACCATAATGTTGCTCAGAACCAGCAAATCCGAAGAAGCGATTAGTTCTGATGGGAACTGAAGGTGATGTCTTCGCGTTAAGCTTTGATTAGGAGATTCATAAACACATGCAACACCATTTGTCAGCCTACATACCCTTAGCGGAAGTCCCCATAAGATCAGGAATGCGAGGTCCAGCTTGACCTTTTCTGGAACCGAAGCCGGTAGAAAAAGCAGCGGTTGCCGACCAATCTTTGAGATACTTCCGGGTCACGACAATTTGTTGGCGTCTGGTGAGACCCACCTGGGTCTTGATGGTTCAGTTTTTATTCTGAAAGGAACTGTTGCTTGGTTGGTAAAATGCAACAGATTTTATCCAGCTTGTCATTGGTTCTTTCGGTTGAAGAGGAAAGTTACGGATTGGCCACTCCGACACTTCTCTAGAACACTTTGAACTGGCAATAGAGATGACGTGGGCATAGTTTTATACTTCGGATGTTTTGGTTTATGGTTGAATGAAAAGTTGACAGATTTTACCAAACACCATCAAAACCACGCCTCCGTCATATCTGGCAGATTCTGATTGGATCAGTGAAAATAATGTGTCATGTCTTTTAACGCTACGTGAGATCAGTCCTATTGGAACATTTAAAGTCATAGTACCTTTTATATTCTATAGGATTATAATAAAGTAATTAATATTTTGATTTCACAGATTGGTCACATCTTATTTATTGACTAACACTTTGGGTGATTGGCTTTATTAAAATATAGTTCTTTGATTAATTAAAAGGAGAGAGTCCATTCTTCATTTTTCTGTTAAGCTGAAAAGAAGCAGGTCAGAAGCAAATGCATGAGACCTTGAGGCCATATCTCATGCAGACTAGTCCTGTGTCAGAGGAGAGGGGGAAACAGTCATTTCATTCCGTTACAACACAATCCAGTCTGATGTACTTTGCCAGAAACTCCAGAAGACACAGGTGGGGGCCTCAACTATCGCCTGGATTAAAGACTACCTGACAAACAGACCACAGTTTGTGAGGCTGAAGAACTGCACATCAAACCAGGCGATCAGTAACATTGGAGCACCACAGGGGACTGTACTCTCACCATTCCTTTTCACCCTGTACACCTCAGACTTCCAGTTCAAATCAGAGACCTGTCATCTACAGAAATACTCAGATGACTGCAGTTGTTGGGTGTATCAGAGATGGACAGGAAGCTGAGTACAGAGAGCTGGTGGAGCGCTTTGTGGCATGGAGTGGAAACAATCATCTGACCTTGAATGTGAACAGCACAAAGGAGATGATTTTAGACTTCAGAAGAAACAGGGTGGAGTAAAACACTGTTTCCATCATGGGAGAAGAAATGGAGGTGGTTGAGGAATACAAATATCTTGGAGTTCACCTGGACAACAGACTGTACTGGAGAAAGAACAGCGAAGCTGTTCATTAGAAGGGACACAGCAGACTGCACTTCTTGAGGACGCTTAGGTCCTTCTTTGTCTGTAGCAAGATGCTGCACATCTTCTACGTGTCTGTTGTTGAGAGTGTAATCTCTTCAGCCATCGTCTGTTGGGGTAGCAGCATCAGAAGCAGGGACCTGAAAAGGCTCAACAGCCTAATAAAATAGGCTGGTTCTGTTCTGGGGACGACTGTGGAACCGCTGGAGGAGATAATGCAAAGAAGGATTCTCCAGAGAATCAAGAAAATGATGGACAACCCTGAGCATTCTCTTCACAAGACAGTTCGACAACGGAAGAGTGTCTTCAGTCAGAGGCTTCTTCAGTTTCACTGCAACACTGACCGCTACTGGAGATCCTTCCTGCCAACAGCCTTTATGATATACTCTTTGATGACTTGATTATTATTATTATTCTGAGCTACTACAGCAATCAATTTCCCTTTGGGATTAATAAAGTATTTTTTAAATGAATTGAATTGAATAACTGCTCAGTAGAACCCCACTACAAAGAAATTGCCCCTTAAAACCTTAAAAAACTGAATTTGTTTGCAAAAACTGAAATCTAAGATATTTTTCTTAGGTTTTTAAAATATTTTCTCATTAGTTTAAATTCTCAAGGGTACAAAAAGAAGGGTACATGTGAACTTTTCTTCTTATCCCTGGGTGAGACTGTAGATGTTTACTGTGTTGAAAGCTCTGACGCTGCTTTCACTGCAGCATCAGAGTCGGGGGGAAATCTCAGCACCACACTCCACTTTACCAGCTCACACCATCCTCCAGGGGTGCTTGCATCATTAAATATTTATGTTGCACACACAAAAGGCATCATCTTAAGGGAGGTTCACCGGCTAACACCTGTCCGGTCTTTGGTTTTCACTGAAAAGTGTCTCCAGCAGCACATGCGTCAGGTTAGATCTGAAGCACAAAACAGGTTTCATATAGTTTATGTATGATTAATTTAGTTTGAGTTTTAGAGAGAATGACAAGACCCACATCATGTAATTTGTTTTTAACTTTGCAACAAAACTGGGAAAATGTAAGAAATCTCACATTAGAAAATATTTAGTAAAATATTTAATCTGATTTTTTACTATTAAAGTCAATAAAATTGCAAAAATACAGAAAAACAAATGGAAAATTGTTATTTTTTAAACATTGTACCTTTCCATTACTGCAGTTTTTTATATTTGTATTTTTTATGTTTTTTTTTTCTGGAATAAAACCTGCTTGAATAACTGGATTTCACCTTCAAGGTGACATTTGGTCTCTAGTCTGAAAGAACTTTTGTGCTCAAGCTGAGGGGAAGATCCAGGCTCTAAAATCCTGCAAAGTCGTTCACACCTTGAGAGGTGTTTAGGTCAGCAGGTGTCACCCACCAGCTTGTTGGTCTTTGAATATGTTGTTTACTTGTAGCCACAACGGGAGGTGTTTTAGTCGTATGAAAGACTGATAACTAAAGAAGGATTTACTGTTAGAAGTTGAAAAGGCAATATCTGGGAATTATAGCTGTAATAAAATCCCATTAGTGAGTTTTGTCGTTTTCCAGTGAGCGTTCAACCTTGAAGTCTCGTGCTGAGACAATGCTCGCCATCTGTCAGCCCAATGCAGGGTGACCCGCCGTGATAGGGATGCATTCACAGCTCTCTAACTGTGTCTGTTTTGGCTACAGGAACTTCTACTACATCACCATGCTGCGTGACCCGGTCTCCCGCTACCTGAGCGAATGGAAACACGTCCAGAGAGGAGCCACGTGGAAGACAGCTCTGCATATGTGTGACGGACGCTCGCCCACCCAGGAAGAGCTGCCAACCTGCTACAGCGGCGATGACTGGTCTGGCGTCACCCTCAAAGAGTTCATGAACTGCCAGTCCAACCTGGCGAATAACCGCCAGGTCCGCATGCTGGCTGACCTGAGCCTGGTGGGCTGCTACAACCTGTCCTCCATGAACGAGAGTCAGCGCAACCACATCCTCCTGAGCAGCGCCATGAGCAACCTGAAGAACATGGCCTTCTACGGCCTTACAGAGTTCCAGCGAAAGACGCAGTACCTGTTTGAGCGGACGTTCAGCCTGCGTTTCATCGCCGCTTTCACGCAAATCAACAGCACGCGGGCGGCCAACGTGGACCTGAGCGAGGTGGTGCGCAGGCGGATCGAGGAGCTCAACTTCTTGGATGTGCAGTTGTACGAGTATGCCAAGGACCTGTTTCTCCAGCGGTTCCAGTTCACCCGCCAGAGGGAGCACCAGGAGGTGCGCTTTAAGCGTCGCGAGGAGAGACGCTGGTTGAGAGAGCAGGGCAGGCCGTGGCCTTCCAAACGCAAAGCGAGCGGGAAAAGAGGAGGAGGGTTAGGGAAGGGACCTGAGAGTGACATGCCCACCACCACCGAGGACTACACAAGCCAGGTGGCCCGTTGGTGAGGTCTCATCCACGAAGAGGATTGGATGAAGATTCCCAATGCTTTCCCTGACTCTCACTTACTGATCGGAGGTTTTCTCTTTGTGTCTCCCCGTTAATCTCATGCGTCTATCTGTTTGAGTGCTCTGCTTTTTCTTTATTTAAAAGAAAATGCTGTGTGTGTGTGTATGCATGCGTGCGTGCGTGCGTGCGCGTATCTTTCAGCAACTCTAAAGAGAGTTCTTGTCTTTTTTTATTTAACTGTTGCCTTAGTCGGTTTTAATTTGAAGAATGACAAAAAACTGAATGGATCAGCTCAGTTTTGAATGTCATTAAAGTCATTGACTGTGTTCAGATGGTTCTCGATCCACTGCTATTGTTTTTTTAAAGGACCCCTGACATTATAAATTATAACGCATAAGCTTTGACGACAGTATTCCAAAGTGAAACGGTGTCTTTTTGTGTTGATTTGCACAGTAGTAGAAGATAAAAACAAAGCTTTTTAACCCTGGCCGAGTTTTACAGTCAGACTGAATAAAGTAGGCATGTATTCACAGGCAGATTAATAAGGGCTGCATTCCATTTAGAGAAACCTTTGCTTGCTGGAACACCCAGCCCACAGGTGCAGAAGTGGGAGGAAGCCCTGTTTAATACACCTTACTTACATTTTCAAGTCAAAATGTCTGCTGTGAAATAGGCTGATGGTTAAATCCAATTCATATCCGACTTGCTGTCACGTTGAGAGCGGGAGGAGGTTAGGACCCAAGATGCAGAACACCAGATGACACGAGGCAGGAGCGAATGTAAAAAGTAAAGTCCTTGATGGTGAACCAAAATCCAAAGGGGCAGGAAGCCAAGATTAGTAACTAAAACACTGAACTGCAAAGCAAAGCTCACTTCACGAGCAGAGACCTAGAGACCTAGTGGGGGACAAAACAACGCTGACAAACAACAATGGGCCGACAACACTGAGAAACACAGACAGGGTTATATACACAGGGGCCGGGTGGTAGGAGACGAGGGGCAGGTGTGTGGGGAATTGGCAAGTGGTGCTCGCTGCAGAACCACAAAGGCGGAGCTGCACCAGAAGGTGGAGCTGCACCAGAGTCAGCCCCGCCCATTCCAGAATCAGCCCCGCCCATTCTATCGGAGTCAGTCCAATTCCTTCCAGTTGTCAGACTTTATAGCATTCTGGAACCAAAGAGGGTGTTATAGCTAAAAATGCAAGATTGAGGAGGGAGTTGAGAAGTGAATTGAACAGTTTTTGTAAAGGTTCCATATAATTAAAAATCTAACTTTTGGAACTTTTAATCATGTTATATTGTCATTTCCTCATAAGAAACACGCCAAAGCCATTTTTGGCCTCATTCATGCATTTTCTTCCCATCTCAGCTTCAATTTGGTCTCCTCCCCCAAAGCGGGTCTGGTCTTGGTTCTCAAATCTGGATATTCTGTGAATTTTCTGACAAATTATTTCTGAAATGACTTCTACTGAGACACCGCCAGAAAAATCATACATCCCATCTACAAAGACACACCAAATAAGATAATAAAACGTAACGCCACCTATTGCTTATCAGATGTGGTGGTGTAGTGGTGATGGTGTCAGGTTGACATGCAGTTTTGTGCAGGTTCGCCTCTCAGCAGTGGAAATATTCTATAATCTCTTTTCCTCATTTCTAGCTACACTTGCCAGTACTATGATTACAACAATTTATCGGTATACCGTTTAACATATAATGACTAATGTGTTTTTTTTATTTATTCATTCGTTTATTTAGCCAGTGTGAGTCCATCTGTGAGCAGAGTTTCAACTAAAATGCTGTTTAGGAACGACCAAATTCAAAGAACTTGTAGAGACATAAATATTTTGCTGAAAATGAACATTACAACAAAAATATGAACAAATTAAATGTTTCAGCTGGCTGAACAGATTGTTGCCGACCCCACCGAGAATCGAACCAGCATCAGCTGAGGGGAAAGCAAAACATAAGTCAGACGATCTTGCCACTAGACTACCAGAACCCACAGGGAGTGGGTATATGCTGTTGTACAGGACGTTTGTTAGAGCGGCTGTGGGCAGATATTCGCTACGAGAAACCTTTTTATTTCGGGATATATTCAGACTTTGTCATGTAGCAAGTTATATTTATCTTGTTTAATTGGAGCACAGAACATAGCATTAACGACTGTAAACTAGTAACAGCCGTAATTCATGTGGGTCAGGTCAGTTTGCGATAAAGTTGAAAACAAAAACGGAAGTCAGTGGGCTAGGCTGAGTTTGCGTGAATGGGCGGGGTTGACTCTGGTGCAGCTCCACCTTATGGTGCAGCTCCGCCTTTGTAGTTCTGCAGCGAGCACCCTCTCGGAATTGGGCACAGGTGAAACTAATGAACTGAGGGGAGAAGCAGAAATAAGCAGGGGAGAAAACCAAATCTAATCCTGCAAACCAAGCTACTAAAATGACCCTAACTTCACTTAAACATAGTAGAACAAAGACACAGGGAGATCTAAAACTAAGTAAATGAATGATCTAAGTGGGGAGGGGAACACACACACTAAAGGAGACTAAATAACTGAAATTCTAAACCTAAAGTGGCGAGAGTGGAGAACATGAGGGGAACCTGGAGGGGGCTGGGGACCACAGGGACACAGAACAGGACAGTTGTAAGTAGTTCTTTGAACAACCTCAGTTTGTAAAACTCGAGACGAATGTGAACTGGTTAGACAAGCCAATGGCTAATCTTGCTAGGCTATTTTGAGTCATTCAGTCCGGTTATTTGCATGTTTTAAAATTCATAGTTTTACACTTCCTGCAGAGTTATCATATTTCTGACAAAATTATAACAGTTTGGCTCCGCCCCCTCATGCTGGACACCAGTTTGGTCACATTTTGCTGTGTTGTTAATTTAATGGAAAGACATTACAGTTTTAAAGCTGACTAATTAAAGTGAAATAATTATTCTCAAAGGGCATTTTAAACAAAGAATTAATAAACCAATCAAAATATGTATTTCTTCTAAGCTTGTTTCTCTAAACTGAGGTTGTTCAAAACATCTACAACAGGTAAGATTGTAACTTTTTATATTCTTCATCTTAACTGTTGTTGGTTTAAGTTAAAACCAGTTAATTAGTTAATAAAGGTAAATCCTGGAATGCACCGATGTGAAAATGTGGGCCAATATTGATAAACAATATTATTATTATTATTGTTTTTGTTTTTGTGGCCAATAACCAATATTTATGATTTTATATTAATACACTAATTTTGAAATAAATAGCTTAAATACATACACCCTCAAAATATCAGTTGTTAATATTGGCCCAGGTTTATTTATCGGACCAACACTGACATGTTCAAAAATGACTGAATAGCACTCCAAGCAAATGCCATAAAGTAAAATAAGTTCTGATCATTATGTTTGTGAGTCATCGCTGGTTATGCTCACTTCTTTGTAAATTTTACAGAACAGCAGGGAACGGGTGTTAAAGATTATTTAAAACAGTTCCTTTCTGAAAGTTGCAGAACTGTTGCATGTCACACATCCACGGAAAACTGCTGGGAGAGAGTTCCTAAAGATGTACAGACTCAGTAAAGGTCCAAGTTATGCTTCTCAGCTCTTCATTTGAAATGACAAACTATTTAAAAATAAATTCATGTTTCAAACTTTATTTCTATCGTGACTTTTTTGTAATAAAATGTCAAGTAGAGTCTAGAAAAAGTCAGAAAACAGAAAACTTCCCCTGCTACTTATTTAAGATGCTGTAGCTGTATTATACCCGGTTGAGAGCATCGTGTTTTATGTCAGGAGAGTAAAAGTATTTAAAGGAATAGACCACATTAGTTCTGGAAGATCTTGAGTGTTGTTTTTATATATTTTTTGTTTGACCTTGTAAACTTTTACATGTCTGACACACAAGTATGGAAGCCCATTCCTGCCACTCTGATTTAAAATGTGTTTTTATTTATATAGTGAGATAGCTAAGTCATAACAGATAGCTAAGTTATAATTATGAGTTAGTATCATAATACTAACTTGACATCAGACTGGAATGTGAGACAAATTTTTTTTATCGGCGTGGCAGGAATGGACGTCCATATAAGAAGCTCGACAAACATTTGACTTTCAACCTTTAAAGTGTAGACATGAATTTATGTAAAAGCATTTATTTTTTTGGCCCAAATGTAATTCTTTTTTTTTTTTTTTTTTGCAAAAGAAAACAAAGTTTTTTATGGTTTACTTTTTGTTAAAACAGAAGCAAGAGAATTACATTTGCGGCATATTTCATTATTTTTTTTACACTTTACATTTATTTTAAAGAAGTGCCCTAATGTGAACACAGATCTACATTAATGAGCATGCATGCGTGCGTGTGCACACTTACACTTTTCGTCAAAAGCAAACAAATTTTTCATTGTACGCCTGGTCGTTTTGCATGCACAACTCGTCTTCTGGACTAAATCCTTCCCAAAAAAATGTTTTTTCTGAAGTGCAATATTTTCCTTAACCCTTTTCTCAAAGGCAGACAGCGTTGAACAAAACGTCTTTCATCTTTTCTTGTAAATTTAGTCAAGAATTTTGTCTGTCGTTGCGATAAAAATCAACAAAAACATGTTTTTTTGCAGCAAGAGTTGATAAACAGTTGATAAATCCTACAGGTGATGAAACGTGTCGGTGCGGCCCGTACACGTGCTGAATGTGAATGAGACGATCAGCATTCAGCTCTCCTGCCCCTCCCTGTCACACTGGCTGCTTTTTACATATTTGCAGAGCTGACGGCAAACTGCACTGTGGGCAGCAGAAGCGCGCTGACAAACACCAGCAGAGCGCCAGGATTCAAAGGCGAGCCTCGAAGCAGATAAGTGGAGGAAAAATAAAACATTTCTGTCAATTCCCACCTCCTGATAGCTCCCAGTACCTCAAAGATTGTTTCATGTGTGGCCTTTAGTGGCCATGGTGCTTTAATGTGTCTTATCTCACGTTCACTCACAACAAACACTCACGTATCAAATGTACACTAAAATGTCAACGCTGAAGCCAGATAACTGCTGCTAATGTTGGTGCAATTTGTCATGTTTTTTTTATTTTTTTTGCTTTTCCTGTGGTTGCTCTTACATCCTGAAATGCCTCGCAAAGCAAGCTTTTCTTTCATTTCGTTCTGTGTTGTTTGAATGATTCATCGAACCGCCGCGATGAAAGGGCTGAATGGATATCGGTTTGGTGTTTACGTGCTCCTGCACGGGCGTGATCAGTGGAAAGATGGAGGAGGAGAGAAAGAAGGTGTGTGTTGCACGTTTTTAAGCATTGCTGTGTTACATTGCACAGAAGTCCTTAGATTAATTCAGATTTGGTTTTGTGCATTTTATGCCGTTTTGATGCAACAAAAAGAGGAGGCTTGGAACATCCAGTTCAATGCCAGGTGATGCGTAATGTGTCACTATGAACTTTAATGTTCAGTTATGCTTGATCTCTTTAATAATGTGAAAGCAAAATTCCTGCAGGTACTCCAAAGTTTCTTGGCATCTCAATTCAGCTAAAGGAGCTAAAAATAATCTTCCGCTTAAAAGAAGAAAAAACTTTTTTCAAGAAACCTACAGAAGCTGAGAAAGGTCATAATAACTTTAATGTCAGTTCACTCTTCTGCTACCTTATGGTTATTTGGATGAATTTGGTGGTTTTGGAGCAAAAATGATCCTTTTTTTTAATCTTACATCCAGTTTCATCATCCAGTGTTGGTTTCATGACATCAAGGTGATCTATAACAAACATGTGAAACTGCCGAACGCTCCTTGATTTGTCCTTTTCTGATTTAATAAGCTGATAAACCATCACCTTGATCCCCGATGTAAAGGATACATTTGTTTTCTTGGAATTTCAAAAGTAATTTCTTGTATTTATTATTGATTTCTAATTCCAAATGACTACATTATCATCACCACATTCTGTTAAGAAAATTATCTTTTTTATCTTTATGTGGTAAGCGTAATTAAATCATAAAAGACCTCAAATTATTATACTTTATATGAAAACACATTAAATACTTTTACAAGGCTTTTCCCACAAAATGCGTTCTTTAAATACTAAAACGTTTATGCATTTAAGCTGTTTGAAGAGCTGCAGATTTGTCAGATTTACCCCACCTTTGTTCCCAGTGAAAAACATGTATTTGATTATGATCAGTTGGTTACAAGCAAATAAAAAATGTCAAAAATTGCAAAAATGAAAATGTCTAGAGTCAATGTTTGCTTTGATTACAGGTTGCATTAAAAAAAAAGAAAAAAGTGAAAAACGTTGCCATAAAAACATTTATTTATTTGTTTGTTTGTTTCCGGTGACATCAACATGATTAGAATTGATAATCCTGTGCAGATGTTTTAAATCGTGCATCTTTTTCATACACCTCTTAACACAAGCATTCTACACTGTAAGAAATAAAATGCTGAATTTACTTAACTAAGTTATGTCAACTGGCTCCACTAAAGCTAGTTGTTAAAACGTAAAGAGTAATGAACATTTACTTTTAACATAAGAACGCGTAACGACGTAGATTACTCCTTCCACTGAAGCAGCTAGGTTTAGATCCAGATGACATAACTTAGTTGAGTGAATTCAACAGAACAGTTTTTAGAGGGTAGGTTTCATAAACAACTATAACTCAAGGGGTGAGCCAGTGCTGTGTCCACAAGCAACACAAAGACCCGTTTTGATCAGGATTCGGGGTTTTTCGTTATCAGCTGACAAATTGTAGAAACAACTATAGAGTGCCAATGTTTTTCTAAAAATGTAGCAAACTTTGTGGCAAAAATCTGAGATGCATCGTCTTTTTGTTGGTTATCTGCTGATTAAAGCTATTTGGAAATCATCTTTGTGGTTTTTCGATAACTGAGAATTTCGCTTCACCACTTATTTCTTGATCTATATTTGCTATTTTTCAACCACAGATGTTGTTTATGCAGTTACTTTTGCCATTAAAATACACAGAAAACATATATTTTATGCTCTTTACACACTTCAAGAAATTTGTGATATTTGTCTTTTTTTCTAGCTGCAGGTTGAACACTGTGCCGTCATGGGAAATATTTCATTTTATCTGTGACTTTCAGAATATTTTCTTGAACAAGCAACACCCAAAATTCACTAATTAGACCCGTGTGACTCAGACTAATATGTAAATAAAACAACGGTGAGAAGCAGGTGTGAGTTTTACTTTTCCCCCAGAAATGTGTGACATGCCACTTGGTTAAAGGAGGAGTTTAATGAACTTGTGTTGCTACACCAATACAGAGCATCTGATTCTGATGGAGCTGTTATTTTTATTATTGATTCAAACTATTTCTGGGGATTGATTCTGCCTGTTTTACAGTGTAAGAATGTCTGTGTGCACAATGAAAGTCTTGCGATTAAAAGAAGCACAGAAAAATAATTTTCGTGATTTATTAGTCTTTTTGTCTCCTGTCAGTCCAAAAATGATGAAAAATATTACAAGTTTTGCTCAACACCAACAATAAAAGCATTGAAAGAACATAAATTCATGACGTGCATTTTGGCTTTTACTTATTTGGCTATTTCTTGAGTTTTGTCTTTGTGTTGTTGATATATGTTATACATTACAGATGGGAATATAAGTTCACTGTTCCAAAAAAACAACAACATAATTCACATTTGCCATTGCTGTGAATATTGTCAGAATAAAGTGTGATAGCTATGTGCACAGCATTTACGTGCAAAAATGTGCAATAATATGAAAATTATATTGCAAATAAATGTATTTTTTATTTTTATTATATATATATATATATATATATATGTATATATATATATATATATATATATATATATATATATATATATATATATATATATATATATATATATGTATATATATATATACTCCTTTTATTTTGTTGATTTATTTATGTCCTATTGAATAACTCAAACCAAATGAACACACATTCACTTAGAATGGAGATAAAATGTGTGTTTTTTATGCACAAAAAGAAGTGCTTAGGGTCAGTTTGAAAAGGATATGTCAATGTGCATAAATGCAAGCATTTTTTGCAATAAGTGACGTCAGTTTTTATTTTATTTCCATAAAGGACAAACACATTTAGTTTAAATACTTTAACTGAAATAATTTGCTAGCAGTCACCGAGTTCTAATATTTCAAATGCAGTTTATTGAGTGAAACAGTCATCATATTTTACAGTACATTAACCCTAAAAAATTATGCCTCACCAAAATTTGATTTGCACTTAAGAAAGTTGCACTGACAGTCCCCGAAGAGAAACGCACTGAACAATAAACACACTTTTTACATGGGATATCTGATTTGCAGTTTAGTGCAACAGCGTTTCTGAAAGTGCATAAAACCAAAGCACCAGTCTTATATCCCGTTAACTTGGTTTATGCAGCTTTGTCTTTGAGAACAAGCTCAACCTTCTGCTTCCCCTCTGGTTGTACCGTATGAACTGCCAGCTCAGCGTTTCAGCCAGCGACTGCAGCAAGTCATTTCCATCCAGATGGTAATACTTTCTTAGTGTCAGCTACAGTAAGTGTGCAGTAATAAAATGTATTTAAACATGCACAGTAATTTGTCGATTATGGTGCATCTTTGTGATTTATTGTCTTATTTATGCATGTCTGTATACAAACATGTTTAATCTGGGGATTTAAACTAAGCACATCAGTGGTCAAACTACTGCTATCAAACAATAAACCTCTGCTATTCCCAAACATGCATTGATGCACTGAAAAATATGTAGAAGACTGCATCAGGTTTGAAGAAAGGCTCCTATCAATGTATCTGTTCTCTGCATCCGGTGCAGCAGAAATTGGTCTTGTGGTGTTTGAGAAATTGAACATCTCCCAGTGGATCTTTTTTTTTTTTAAATCTTAGACATTTATCACTTTAGCTGTCCTGTGTGCTTCAGATCGATGGCTCGCAACCAAGAAAAACATAGTTTAGATGTGACTGCCACCTAGTGGTCATGTTTTGCAAATGCACTTTTTGAGGACGTTTCAAACTTCATAGTTTTCATGACAACTTATTTATTTAAAAGCATAATTCTGGTCAAAGATTTGAAACAGTGCAACAGGAGTTGTTTAATGGTATGATTTCTACCAAAATACTTAATTTTACTGTGTCTCAGGTATCGGCAATAAAAACTATTTTATTCTATAAACAGGAGAAACAAAGACTAGTAGTATTTTTTTTCATTTAGCTTTTGTACTACAAAATAAAAGTTTATTATTATTATTATTATTATTATTATTATTATTATTATTATTATTATTGTTGTTGTTGTTGTTTATTTGAGCATAAGGACTATTTGGTGAATATGCCATTTACATTTTACCTTCATCTCATTATTAAACAAGCTTACAGAAATAAAAAGTGACCATGTTGAATCCACCTTTCAGACTGATAAATGAGAAAAGAAAGTAAACAAAAATCAGTGTTAAGGTCAAATGAATAAAAAGCATGGGCTGCTGTCTTTCCTTGTTTTTATATCTGATTCACTTTGACAGTGACATTTTCCTCAAAGAGAGCAATACGGTGACCTTTCTTTGTGGCACTCAGCATCACGTTTCCAGCTTGAAATGTGTCAGAGTGACAGATCAGCGAAAGCTCCTCTGTGGCCTCCAGTGAGCTGGAGAAAACAGAAAAGACAGAAGAACGTCATCCTGGTCATTTCAGTTTATGACATGTGACAAAATGCACGATATTACGTGTTTTATGTCTGAAAAAAAATTGTAAATTATTTTGGATTGTAGAAATTATAACCGAGCTCACTAAGCAAATGGATTATTACCAAATGACTCCAATAAGCTGACTCTTTGTGTTTATGAGTCATAAAAACAGCACAAAAATACTCTGAAAAATCTAAGGTTTTGTATATTTGAAGCTAAAAATCAAAGTATTCCACTCCAAAACAAGCAGAGATTTAACTCCTGCAGTAAATAAAAGCTTATAACTAATTCCAATAAACATCAAAACAGCTGTCTGATGATTTCAAGGTACAAAATTATTTTAAATGTATTAGCCCTTTTGAAATTTGACACAAAATCAAAAATATAACTAAACATTAGAATATAAAGCTGTGACATGGTTTTGAAATATATATATATATATATATATATATATATATATATATATATATATATATATATATATATATATATATATATATATAATTTACTTTCTAAAGTAAAAATTAAGTTGACCTCCATCATAAAATCCAGTGTCCTCCTACTTTCCACAGCTTCCTTCATTGATTATCATATCAGGGTTAGCATCCTAGTCATTTGACCTTGAGCATATTTGCTGCTTCCATCAGTTTCTTTTTCAATTTATTTTCTTTTATTTAATCAAATTAATTGTTATCACGAAAATTAACTCTCACAGAGTCAAATATGCTTTCCTCTTGTCCTAATTGATAAAAATGCCTCTTATGTCACTTCACCTTGAAGAATAATTGGTCAAATTTTCACTAATCTTTTCCAACATTCGTGTATTTTGTGATTAATTGTTTATATGTGCTCGTGAGAGCGTGTTTACATAAACTAACCTAAAAAAACTCACATGGTTTTATAGCTGTTACCTTGGTAACAAGCAAACCCTCGCCCTTTAGCTTGCTGGCAGTCGTTTGGGTCGTACCACTTTCCGGTGGGGGTCGGTTATGAAAAATATATTATAAAATAGCCTATTTTCCCATAATTAAATATTTAAAATACTAACGTAATGTTTTTAATCGTCTTTAATAACAAATAGTTGTATGTGTTAGCTTTTAATTGTCGTATGTTAGCTTGTTTTCATCCGTTAGCTTTCCAGGTCACCCCGGTAAAAACAGGTTATCCCATTAAAATGACGATCGTACAGTAAGCTGTCAAAAGCTTGTTGCTTAAATCTTTTACAGCCCTACGAAGTCAAGAAGAAATTGGGTCGGACAAGCTGCAATTCGTCCGAGAGGAGGACGGGACTCAAATGGGTAGCTGAGGTGACATCCAGGACGACTTGACATCTTGTTTTCGTTAGTTGGCCGTGTCGTCCGTCTGTCCTCCTAGCTGCTGCGTGATCCACTTGAGGGGAAGCGGTTCGCTCCTGACGATGAGGTAAGCAAACCCTTAATGCTAACACTAGCTAATAAATGTTGTCGTGCTCCGTAACGGCTCCATGTTTCGGTTTTTAACAGGTTATTCTGAGGTTATGACATCTGTAGTTCACGATGAAGATGTAAATCAGTTCATTTCAATCTATGCTGTTGACGTGTGTGGTGCAGATCCATGTCCGGTAGAGATGACCTCGTGTTTTTAGCTTTTAAACCGTATTAATAAGTGATAATTATAATTAAATTGGTATTTTCTCTTTTCTACTAACAACCCAAATAGGCAGTATACCAGTGATACACTGGTGAAATGTAAAATAAAACTGTTTTCGCTTTATTTTGTTTTCTTGTAATAGATTAAAACGGCCTGATCTGTTTTTTTCCAGGCTTTCTGAGGGTCTTTCTAAAATTTTATTTGGCTTTTCATACTATTAGTTTAGTATCTGATCATTTTGGGATAAGTATTTTCTTGTATTTGTTGTTGTTGCTTAAATGAGATTCCAAACTCTTCAGCTTCAGACACATTAAAGACATGTTACCCCAGAAATATCTGATTTGACATCCTTTAAAAGCTAATTAATTCAAGGCATAAAGAAAACTGCAGCTCATATTCACTTATATCCTTTTATAATAATTTAGTAGAGTTTTTGTAACAATCGTGTTAGAAGTGTAGCTTCAGCAGTTGTTTTTCAGTTTTATTTTGATTTCTGGAAATCTTCTCAAGGCTCCCTGTTTATTCATTAAATATTCATAGATCAGGTATCGGTTTTCCCTCCTAAGTGCACAAAAATAATATTATTTTACACATAAAGGTTTGATCCAATAATAATTATCAGGTCACAGATGTTTATGAACAAATATTTCATCAATTTAATCAATTTCCCTCTGGGATTAATAAAGTATTTTTGAATTGAATTGAATTGAATTTAGTTTTTTTCCAGTGTTGCACAAACCAAATGCATCCTGTTACACAGTTCTAGCAGTTATTTAAAGTAGACATTTATTTCTATAATCTGTATCAAAACCCGTTTTCTTCTTGTATGTTTTCCTAAAGCACTGTCCAAGTATTGATTTCCATCTTCTCTGAGTAATCAAAACTAATTTGACAGATCAGGTCAGCAGGAAGTTCTTCCTGTTGTGGATCAGCTGCTGGTTTCCTATTGGACGGTTTCTAACTGGGAGGGTTTTTCCAGAAGCCAGCTCTCAGACAGGAAGGGGGTGGCTGGAAATGTTTTAGTCACAGCTTGGCAGACGGTCTGTTTTTACTATTTGGAAGAGAACGTTTTCAGTCTCCAGATCCATGGCCCAGAAAGATGGGTAAGAGCTCTTTATTGTCATCACCCTCACAAGCAAGCGGCTTGAAAGTTGGACCTCTAGCTCACATTGTCGACCACAGAGCAGAAGTTTAGTGCCACATGATGTGAGAGAGGTGGGTTTTCCTGCTCCATTTCCTGACTTGCGCCTAAAGGAATTTGCTGCAGTGTGTTGTGGGATTGCACAGATAGTTGGAAAGTAGAAAACAGCAGTTCACTTTACTTCTGTGCTCTTGCTGAATGTGATCCTAAGTGTTGGTAGAGAAACTTGTCAGCCCTCAGATTTATTCTGCTAATGAACTCTTTTTTTAATTTATTTTGTTTTGTTTTCACCCCCCTCCCTCAGCCACTTCCTTTGTAGCTGCTCGTCATTTTTGAGTCCCTGGTTTCGTTTTTAATCCAAACATGAGGTGTGGATGTCTTTTTTTTTTTTTTTTGCTACGCTTGTGTTTTGCACGCGATCTGTTGGGCCTTGAGTCAGCATATCTCACCAACTGTTCATGTAATCTCATTAAAAGATCTGGGAAACCGGCGTGTTGGAATAAAGACACAAAGAAAAACACAAAGTAGTGATTTAAAAACATAACAACTTACATTTATTACAGCTGGATCACAACTTGATTTGTTGCTTGGAAACATTCACATGCAGTCATTGGATAATTGATTGGTATGTTACCACTCGGCGGCACAGTGGTTAGAGCTGTTGCCTGTTAGAGGACTGGGGATTTCTACAAAACTATGCTAAGATATGAATGAGAGGCTCAAATGAAGGGTGATAATAAACTTACTTTGTCTGTTAAAATAAACTTTTTGATGGAAAAATTGTGTGAGTTTGCATGTAAGTATAATGTAATGCAGATGTCAGATTATGGCTTTTGGTGAACATTTTTACTTTCATCCAGGAGGGGCTCGGAGTAGATTCGCTGCTCCTCCACATCTAGAGGAGCCAGTTGAGGTGGCTCGGGCCAGGATGCCTCCTGGACACCTCCCTGGTGAGGTTTTGCGGGCACGTCCAACGGGGAGGAGGCCTAAAGGGAGACCAAGGACACGTTGGAGGGACTATGTCCCTCACCTGGCCAGGGAACACTTTGGGATTTTCCCGGAAGAGCTGGCCCAAGAGGCTGGGGAGAGGGATGTCTGGGTCTCTCGACTTTGGCTGCTGCCCCCGCAACTTGACTCCGGATAAGCGGAAGAAAATGGATGGATGGATTTTTTACTTTTTTGGGGGGTTGGAACAATTTCTCATCAACCTTTTTTTTCTTCAATAAATCTGCCGTGGTCTTTAGTAAAGAAAAAAAATTCTCCCGTTTCCTGTTTCCTGGTAGAAATCTGTTTGAGGAGCAGGGCAGCGGGAGTCCATCCATCCATTTTCAACACCCTCTGAAGATAGGCGCCAGTTCCACCTCAAGCGTTTGGCTGTTTATAACATTGTGGAGTACTTTACAACAGACATTACGACTCGGAACGGCATCATGGCACAAACTCAACCGCCAGCACAAACCCAGCTGCCGTTTTGATAACTTTAAAGTACTACTGATCTTAAAATGTTCTAGTAAATAGTATACTTACCCATTGTTAATGAATTAGTCTCACAAAACATGACGGCAAGTCAGATCACGTTTAAAAAACAGAGTCACTTCCTGTTCTCAAGTACAGTGTGATTTTGTGACTATCACGCAACTTTCCAAGAAGCTCTCAGAGGCGCGGTGCATCCTGTGTGACCACTTGACTTCTCAAAATTTCGGGCGAGGCGCATCCACCTCCGGTGCCAGCTCAGCCTGGGCCTGGTGGGGACATCCCACCTCGCTGCCATGTTGTTTACACAGCCTTCTCAGGACCAAGGACAGGGGCAGGTTCAGCTAAAGTGGCACAGAGAGGTTCATGGTGGCATTCCTAACTGTCACAAGTTAGTAAACAAAAGAGGGTGTGAGCAGTGTTGCTTTTAAAGACTCTGACATGAAGCACACAGCTTCCTTACTCTTCTCACTGAGCAGCAAGGAGCACTCACAGCAGATGGTCAGTCCTCGCTTTGCTGCTGTGGCTCCACCCTCCCACCCCCCACCCCAGCCCTCCAAGCTGCTGTCTGAGAAGATGTTTACTCCTCTGCATCCAGATTGCTGATGAACTGCGCATGTGGGAAGCAGCCACTGGCTGATTCTACCTGCACCAGTCAGAGGCACCCACTAGTAGCTGGGCATGAGGGTGACGTCACTTCAGCTGGCCAATCAGTCCATAGGTGGGTGTGTATATTCAGCTTGGCACGAAATGAGCCTCTGCTCTCTCCTGACAACAGAATCAGTGCAGTCTTCTGCTGGCATGAACCACGGTGGGCAGAGCCATGAAAACCAATGCCACTCACACAGCATCGGCAGTCCCCTCCGCTTTGCCCACCCCAGCCTCTGCCTGTTTGTTACACACTGCCTTAGGAATGCGGGCACGATTGAGCACATAGGTTGTCTGGGGCCTGTGATGTCATGAGTGCATCTTTGAGGATGTGGGTGGGGCAAAAGAGCTCGGACAAGTCTGCAGTTGCATTTTGAGACTCAGGCCCTGTCCACACGTAGCCGGGGATCTGCCAAAACGTAGATATTTTTCTACGTTTTGGCCTGTCATCCACACGAAAACGGAGTTTTTTCACACGAAAACGGATCTTTTTAAAAACTCCGGCCAAAGTGAAGATCTGCGTTTTCTCCGTTTTGGGTGACTGCGTGTGGACGGACAAAACCGGAGTTTTAAGGTCCGCAACGTCACTTTCCGCGACAAAGCAATGCTGACATCACATGTGCGACCTGTGTTTACACTAGCCGACAGCATGGATGCCCTCAGAGCTAAGCTCTGTCACTACCCGATCCATCAATTGTCCAAGCGCTTTCTGCTTGTTTGTTTTTGCAAGCGGAATTACTGCTCCTTGCGGAAGACCACAGACGAAGGACGAGATTAAGAACGGGGGAAGTACTGCCGCCTACAGGTCTGGCATGTCCTTAACAACGTATTTATCCGGGCACGTGTGGACAGAGTTTGTTTTTAAAACGCGGTGGTGTGGATGCAAGTTCAGACTCTGATTTTGTATCCTGCGTTGCTGTGTCTGGCAGCACTCTGCGTGCGTGCGTGCGTGTGTGTGTGCGCGCGCACGCATGCCTCCTCACAGCAGTGAGAGACAGAGTAAAATGGCTTCAGCCAGAGGCTTGTTAACTCCACAGCATCCAGAATAATAATGAATCATGCATGTGGGAAGCCCCAGCGGCCTGATTCTATCCACCAATCGGAGGCGCCACCTAATGGTACGCATGATTTCATTTCTGTCACCCTGCTTTCTGATTGGCTACATGCCATGTTTAAAAGCTTAGCTTTATGATCTGAGCGGTCCCAACATCCTTCCAAGTAGAATATAGTACTCATAAAACATCACATATGGTAGGGATATCTTATAAAATCATCTTTATATCCATTAAAGATGTAAAAGAAGTTGCAAGAGTTGTAAAAATTTGTTGCAGTTTAGTCAGAAAAGATCTAAATTTTGTCTCAATTTGTTTGCAGTTCACCATCATTTCAGTTGGTTGTCAAGTATTTCTAAAGCTGTCTCACATTTGCTGCACTTCTTGACTCCTGGAAACTAAAATGAGATGGGTCTGAGACAGGTTCCAGGTGCCCTATGGCCTTGTAACTACTTTGAGAGGAAATGTGTTCATCAAATCTTTTAAACGCTCTCAATTTTACGCTGGAAGTTTATTTATTTATTTATTTATTTATTTATTTATTTATTTATTTATTTATGTGTTAAATAGTTTCATGCAAGGGTGCCCAATCCTGGTCCTGGAGGGCCGGTGTCCTGCATGTTTTAGTGGTTTTCCTGCTTTAACACACCCTATTTTAATCATCAGGTGAGTAATAGGCATATGCAGAGCTTAATGAGCTGCTGCACAAGTGAATCAACTACTGAATCAGGAATGCTGGAGCAGAGAAACAAGTAAAACATGCTGGATACCGATTGGGTGCCCCTGCGTTAGTGAGCTGTAAGACTTACCACATTTAATTTATATTTTTGTTTTCTTTCAGGTCAGCAACAGAAGTGCCTTTGAGACAACAACTCCATTCTGAATTTTCTTTCTGAAGACATTCTCAGGCGGTTACAAAGCATACCTCATCTGCAAACTGTCTGGTTTCAGTTTTCTCATCCAACACCTGAACGACTGCTGAATTTGAGCCATATGAGCTGAAGACAAACGCCCTGAGAATGTTTCACTAAAGTGGAAAGTTTGTTTTTGACTTGTTTGATCTCTGCGGAAACCTTGAGTTCAGGGACACGCACAAGCTCGGACTTGTTCCAACGACAAACACACCTACTGTTGATTATCTGATGGAAGATTTGTCAGTGATAAAACAACATTCTGCGCTAGCTGATGGAGGAACCAAGTGGCTTCTAAAGTGATCACCCCTCCGTTTCCAGCAGAATTTTTGATTAAACTGTTAAAACTTTTTGGTGTAGGCCTTTTAAACGTTTAACCTTCATAGTGTGCTGAAAACCTCTCGGACATGGCAATGAACATGTCTTCGGTTAGAGACACGAAGTGGCTGACTTTGGAAGTGTGTCGCCAGTTTCAGCGGGGAAACTGTTCACGTAGCAATGAGGAATGCAAGTTTGCACACCCGCCCAAAAGCTGCCAAGTTGAAAATGGAAGAGTCATCGCCTGCTTTGACTCCTTGAAGGTACGATTTCAAAATATTCTTTTAAATTTCATGGAAAATACATCCCTGGTAAAGGAACTGTAACTTTACAGAGTTGTTTTATTTATTCATCTTTGCATTTTGTAGCTCTGTAATTGTTAAGTAATAGAAAATTACTTTGGCTTTAATAGTTATTTTTACACTGTTTTAGCAAAAATGCTTAAATTCTTGGTTTATTCATATTACACTTTTAATCTTCATTTTTAAACTGCCATGTTAGTTGCGTTGGCTGCTCAAAACAAATAGAAGACATCTTTTTTAAGCTCTCCTAATTCTTCATAGTTTTTTTAATGAAGCCATAAATCAACACATTTGTTGCCTTTCGTACTCTCTTGTGAATTCTTTCTAATTCCACCCACTCCTGGAGAGGTGGCTCTCTCTAGTAGGATGGGACCAATTAGCCGCCCCGTCCCAACAAATACGCTTAAAACGCTGCAGATCTGGCAAAACTACCCCGACGCTTATAAAAATAATCCTGTCCACTTTAAGTCTTTATCCTGCTCTAATGAGGAATTCTCCAAGTCCCTGGTTGCATTAAGACGAATTCTGGTCTCTAAGCCATTACACATAAAGCTCCAGTGCTTTAACAACCCCTAAACAATTCTACACTCTTCTATAAATAGATAACATACATGTAAAAATGTTCTAATCAGTAATTTGACGATTTAAAAGAAATCTTGCATTCAATTGGATTAAAGCCAGTTTATCCTCATCCAGGCTCAGCATGGGGCCAGCGCTGTTTAATCCACTCGCACACATTCACTATCACATCTCCATGTGGGATTATTTTCACTGTGAATTATTGCATTGCCAGCCTGTGCCCTTATGTCAGATATGCATACACACAAAGTAGCGACCGTATTTATCCACGAACGAACAACTGATTACAAAGCTGCACCACATTGCAGGTCTTGAGCTACTTTAAAACAATCTTACAATGCACAACAACTGAATAAAAAATTTTACAGGTTTTTTTGGAGAAATTGTTGAAATTAAATTCCTGGGGTGAATTTCCAGTTCAGTTTTTGTGAGTTTTCTTCCAACTTTAATGCTCAGCAACCATTCCATGTCTCCGCTTTACTTACACAACACAAAAGGACCCTTTAGGCCTTCCCCACCCAAATACAACCACAACATTTCAGATGGTGAGTGAGATGAGAGGCAAAAGCAGCCTTTAGAGTGAAAGTTTCTTTTTTCAGCATCTGCTTACAAAATAAATTAGGTCATAAATGCGTACATTTGTTTTCTTTCCTTATTTATATTCCTTACATTGTTCCACTTCATCATCTGTCTTGCTGATAGTTTAGCAACAAAAGTTAGATCGAAGCTTAGAACAAGGAAGATCAAATAAACTTTGGGTGAACTTTCCTTACACTAATAGGCCCTAACTCAATCATATGGAGGAATGTGCACAGCCTGTGGTATTTAACTAGTATCTCATGACCTTTACTAATGTGGCAGAAAGTCACTAAGAATAAAAAAGCTGGTTAGAGCAGTTTTCCCAAATGGCATCTCTGTTTTATGTTTGGAAATTTACCTGAAACTAAAAAAAAAGTTATTAGAACTGTTTTATTGTGTTTTGTGAAAGCCATAAGCAATTCACAATAATTCCATGGTCTAAGATGTATAAACTGTAAAAACCTTAACTATTTATTGATCACCTTTCCAGGCTCCAAAATGAACCATTGCCTGTGTTGTCAGTTGCTTCTTATTAAGGACAATTGTCCTACAGAAAGACAACATTAATTTGGTGAATTTACGAGTTACACATTAAATCTACATTAGATTTTTGCAAAATACTTTATAATGGAAATGGATCAGTTCAATTCTCCCTCTGGATCACTGTTTGAACATTGTTGAATTATTGATTTTCATTGTCTAAATAGGCCACCAGTGTAGAAATGGGTCTGCTTTGGACCAGCGTCGGGCGCAAATCACCAGAGGGCTTGGTGTCAAGTAAACATAAATTATATCAAGAGCTGCACAATGTATTGTTGTGCAGTATATGTACAACTTAGACTACTGTTTTATTCCAAGAGCTTCTTTTGACCAGTCACATGGATTCTTATTAATCTTGATGCTCACACCCAAATTAGATGATAGTGGTGTTAAAGTACTAGCCTAGTGAACTAGACCAAATTCTTGCATTGCAAAGAATGGTCTAGGCATGCTCCATTGGAACCTCAGCAGCTCCTACCAGGACTCTGGCTGGCCAATCACAGCTCTCTAGAGGGGTTTCAAACACATAAAGAGCTGTGATTGGTCCATAATGGTGGGCCAATCATAGTGCTCTATCTGCTTAGTGAACAAATCACAGAGCTTTATCCGCTTTGTGGGCCAATCAGGGCACTCTATATGCCTGGTGGGTGGGATGATGCAACAGAGTGAAACAAGAGTATGTCACATTCATTGTCCAGTAGCATGCGGAGATCATTTGAAAGACAACGGTAGAACCCGCCCCACAACCGCGAGCCGTCAATGGAGCATGGCCAGACTAAATAATACATTTATTTAGTCTGGCTTGCCAGGCTAGTTAAAGTACATGAAGGTTATTGTTAGCATTGCGATAGCCTAAAACAAACAGGAGCAAATTAGGAATTTCTTTTTACTGATGACTGATATTATCATCAGAAACAACACACAAAGTATTCCACGAATAAATGATCAGAGGAACCATGCTGTCTGCTGTACAGATCAGACATTCAGTCTTCCCAGAGTTAAAATGAGAGGAAATTATCTTTTAGCCAGTTTGTTGCTGATGGGCGTTCCTAGCCTAGTGAACTAGACCAAATTCTTGCTTTGCAAAGTTTGGTCTAGGCATGCTCCATTGGAACCTCCACAGCTCCTACCAGGACTCTGGCTAGCCAATCACAGCTCTCTAGAGGGGTTTCAAACACACAAAGAGCTGTGATTGGTCCATAATGGTGGGCCAATCATAGTGCTCTATCTGCTTAGTGAACAAATCAGAGTTTTATCCACTTTGTGGGCCAATCAGTGCACTCTATATGCCTGGTGGGTGGGATGATGCAGCAGAGTGAAACAAGAGTATGCCACATTCATTGTCCAGTGGAATGCGGAGATCATTTGAAAGACAACAATAGAACCCGCCCCACAACCGAGAGCCGTCAATGGAGCGTGGCCAGACTAAATAATACATTTATTTAGTCTGGCTTGCCAGGCTAGGGCGTTCCAGTAGTGCAGACAAAGAAGAATTTGGAATCTTTAAGGGAAGTGAATTCCGTCCACATAAAAGTGGCAAAACAGGTGTGGGCCTAAAACAGAGCCTTGTGGAACTCCACATAAAGTAGTATCTGACAGATAATAGATTTACCAATTTTTTTATGCTTCTCATTTGGTAATACCCTGTGTGATCATGAGTTTGAATGTCCCTATTCTAATCACTGACGATTAATAAACACCTGACAGTAAAATGGCTATAATGTTCAAAGAGGAGTCTAAATGAAGTGGAAATGCTAGGGGCTGATGACAGGAACACCTTTGGCTGGCTCACATTTGTCTTATATTTTGAATCTCCAAATGCAGGGCAGATGCTCCAGAGAGAACTGCAAGTATCTCCATCCACCATCTCACCTAAAAACTCAGTTGGAGATAAATGGCCGCAACAATCTGATCCAGCAGAAGACAGCAGCAGCTGTGCTCGCCCAGCAGATGCAACTCATGATTCCTGGACACAGTCTGCAGCCTATGGTGAGAGTCTCAAATCTATTCAGGATGGAATTTCCTTTGTTTTGTTACAATGTTTGTCTCAGGCTTAAGTCAACATCTCTTGCTACACAGGGGCTTGGTGCTAATACTGGTCTGGCTTATGGGTCATACATCACACCTTTGAGCCATGGGATGAGCCTCATTCCCTCAGACATCCTCTCCAACACCCCAGTTCTTGTTCCTGGCAGTCCAGCTGTCACAGTTCAGTGCACGTCCTCTTCTTCCTCCTCGTCTTCAAATTCTCCCTCCCAGAAGCTGCAGCGTCCAGACAAATTAGAGGTACTCATGCGCCTGAATTTTGCAGTTTAACATAAGAAATGTTAATCATTTTTCTGGTCTGACATAAGCTGGCTACAGGCAAAAAGCTAAACTGTTCTCCCCATCTTGATAAATGCACCTCCTTCAGGTGTGCCGTGAGTTTCAGCGGGGGAACTGTGCACGAGGGGAGACAGATTGCCGCTTTGCTCACCCCATTGACAGCCCGATGATTGACAGCACTGATAACACAGTCACTGTTTGCATGGACTACATCAAGAGCCGGTGCTCCAGGGAGAAGTGCAAGTATTTTCACCCGCCTGCACACTTGCAGGCCAAACTCAAATCCAGTCAGCAGCAAGTCTGTCAAACGGCAGTGGCAGCCCAGGCCACAGCTGCAGCCATGGTAAGACCTAGCTTTATTCTTTTGGTAGCTTTAAAATGTTTGGCTGCTGTTATGCTGTTGGTCTGATGCCGTCGTCAGTGCTGTGTTTAAAATCTGAGGTCAAATCTAAGCCCCAGGGCTCGTTATCCTACTGTTGACTATTAAAGCTGCTATAGCGAATCTACAGAACAAGCTAGGATTTCAACGCGAACATGGTCACAGAACACTCGCCCCGCCCCCTTTTTGGGACTCTAGTAGTTTGTCCTAAAGTTGAAGTGGTAGCAGCCGGCTGTTTCTCCTTCTCTGACAAATACCACAAACTTGAATGTGTTCTGCGATGTTGCGGAGATGCTATTGCTAATGACTAGTTTCTACTAGCCAAGACGTGTTCTGCTCTCTTGGAGCAAAATCAACGCAGCCTCCCATGGTCGCAAGCCAAGGTGGCCGATTATATGATATGAATATTAGTTTTCCCCGCAATGTAGAAGAAACAAGCTTTTGTGACACAATCTTTCTCTTCTATTTCCTTTCTGCGACTAAAGCAGGCAGTGAGGGTTTGAAGGAAATGTTCTCGTTCAGCATGCATGTGCAACTCGGAGTGACTGATCGTATTTAAAGGAGAGCAAGTATAGTGAATGAGCCGTTATGCTGTTGAGTTGATTGCTGACTGTAGACTAGTGCTACTCAATTCTGGCCCTGGAGGGCCGGTATCCAGCATGTTTTCGTTTTAACTCCGTTTCAACACACCTGATTTCAATCAGCAAGTAAATAACAGGCTTCTGCAAAGCCTGATGAGCTGCTGCACAGGTGAACCAACCACTAATCAAAAAGATGGCCTGTATTTGATATAGCGCCTTCTAGAGTCCTGGAACTCCCCAAGGCACTTTTCAACACAATCAGTGGTTCACCCATTCACACACTGGTCGGGATGAGCTACAATGTAGCCACAGCTGCCCTGGGGCGCACTTACAGAGGCGAGGCTGTCGAGCACTGGCGCCACCGGTCCCTCCGACCACCACCAGCAGGCAAGGTGGATTAAGTGTCTTGCCCAGGGACGACAGCGACAGACTGAGCGGGACTCAAACCTGCAACCTTCCGATTGCGGGGCGAGCACTTAACTCTTGTGCCACAGTCGCCCACAATCAAGTGTTTTTGAGCAGAGAAACCGCTAAAACGTGCTGGATACCGGCCCTCCAGGCCCGGATTTGAGTACTCCTGCTGCAGACAGTCAATAGTTTTACAACAGCACCCCTTCATATGCACCATCTACATACTTTTCAAGTTTCACCTGTACAGTTACATGTTTTGGATGAAGACACAACATTGGCTGTAACTCAAGGTCCATATTTATTTAAGCCTATTAGCTCTTTATTTTTTGTCTGTTTTTTGTAAAATTACCTGATTGAGAAACAGAGAAGCTGCAATTTTATGTTAAAAGAAGTTATTTTTTTATGTTTAGGACTAATGGAGAGAGACTCACCTGAATACACACATTTACTATGTAGTTTGATACAGAAGCCATATTGCAGCAAATTAATTTAGCCTTATACAGCCTTATGCAGCGTTAACACCACTAATAATTCAACTAAAAGAAAAATACTTTAACTATTCTACAAGATAAATAGGAGATAATTAACATTTTTGGTGAGGTTTAAGTCTATGTGAAATACAATAGTAAAATTACTTTTAAGGTGCATTTAACCAAAATTTACTATTATTGTTAATTATACAGTAAAATTAACAGGATAAACGTTCCGTAAGTGCATATCAAAGTCATTTTACTTAGTGAAACTGTTTTTTTGTCCTTTACAGACGCTTTATGTTGGTTTCTGTGTACGTTTTCTTTCATTGCGTAATCCTTTAGGTTTTATCTAAAGCTCACAAAAGTAATTACATTTTTTATGTGCCATACAAGATGAGGAACCAGCCATTATTCCATGTAGAGCTTTGCTGTAAATCTGGTAAATGTGCTTTATGACTTTAGATGCATGGTTCATCTGTTGATTTGTGACACTGCTTCGGGCTGGCTCTCATAAAACCAAGTCATCTTTCATTGAACAGTAAACACTGTATTCCATTCAGATCGCTTTCTTAAAGCTGTAAAATCTGTGTGTAAGTCCAAAAGTGTGTGTGCGCAGCTGCACTGATCAGAGAGTTTTAAGTAAATTAACAACTCAGATCTCTTTATATGTAACAAATGTATAACTTGAAAGTACACATCAATGTCAATCTGCAAATGAACTAATTCTGACTTACAATCATTAAATGTGCCTCTTTACTACATTTTTTATTACTATGCATGTATATTATGTCTCATGTTGTATACTACATTCAGATTTTTTTTGTTTTTGTTTTCCCCCTGTCACCTACCCACAATGCTGTCCTCCATGGTGCACCTCTTCTTGCTGTTACCTGTATGTTAATGCGCTTGAATCCCATTGGCCCACTGCCATCATGTGCTCGCTGCCTGCTATTTAAAGACTCAGTCGACTGCCAAAGCAATGAAGCGACCCCTCGAGGCGACTGTAGACCTGGTATTTTCACCTTTTGCTTTGCATGTGGCTATTACTTGTTCTAGGATAACATTTTATTTTTTGTCATTGTGGTTTTCAGGCTCTTCAAAGCTCATGTGTGCACAGTCGCCATCATTTAGCTTTAATGTTTAACTGTTAAAATGTTATTCCAAGCATAACGTAATCCTAAAGCTGTGCTTCGTTTTTCACTTTTTACATTTTTTTAACCTTAAATACTAAAAAAAAATACTTTTTTTTATAAATGTGTACAAAACTGAACAAAAGAGCAGTTGGGGAATTTTCACACTTGTTTTTTGTCACTTGTAGGCATTTCCTCACAGTGTCCTGCAACCCCTACCAAAGAGACCAGCTCTAGAGAAGAGCAGCTGGGCCAGCTCTCTCCTCAACCCCAGTTTATTGCACTACCAACAAGCTTTGGCCAACACACAACTGCAACAGGCCACTGCAGCATATTATCCCACAGGTGAACCTCAAAATAACACATTATCTTACTTTACATTCCCTATTCCATGGCTTAATATATTTAAAATGTTTAAGATTTTCATGGATGTCATTCACTTTTTATATTGTTATTTAAAGGTGTCCTAGAATTTATGTTGGTCGCATAAAAGCTAACTGCAGAACAACCTTAGCCCGAGTAACTGGTAAAATTAGCCCAAGCTGCTAACACTGGCCTGAGCTACTGCTAACATTAGCCCGACCTACTGCTAACCTTAGCCCAAGCTACTGCTAACATTGGTCCAAGGTGCTAACACTAGCCTGAGCTACTGCTAACATTAGCCCAACCTACTACTAACCTTAGCCTAAGCTACTGCTAAAATTGGCCCAAGGTGCTAACACTAGAGTTAAGCCTGATTCATGCTTCTCCATCTGCGTCAGTGCGGGGACACGCAACGCCATTATGCGGGCCTGTTGGAGAGCTCCGCAAGGACGGACGGAGTCAAGCTCTCTTTTCTAAACGTCCGTCCATCGAGACTGACAACGCAAGCTTGTGATTGGTCAGGACGCCACTGTCATCTACACCGCCGCCATTGCGCCCTCAAAAACAAAGAGAGCCGAGGATAACTAGCGGCAGACACGGAGCAGCTTGAAGAATACCTTGTGAAAAAAACTCTAAAAACATGAACGTTTAATTCCCCCGTGACTGGAGGAGTGAAAAGATGTGCAGCAAGCGTTTTATTTGTGGACGGAAATGACGGGAAACGTGGGTTTAGAGGTGGCGAGTCCATGAAGAGGTGGAGGAGGATGAGAGACAAATATGTCTGTTAAAAAGTCTCTTATATACAAAAAACGCAATATAAACACACTATCTTGGACCGATACATGACGAGATACCACAGAACAGTGCTACGCCCTCTGGTGTCCTGGTGGGGAATTGCTTTGCAACACTCCCCAGGAGATGGAGAAGTATGAGGGCAAAACATTTATGTCCGTGCGTGCGTGTCTCTCCCTGTTGGAGCTGACGGAGAAGCATGAATCAGACTTTACTGTTAACATTAGCCTGACCTACTGCTAACCTTAGCCCAGGGGTCGGCAACCTGTTCCCATCAAAGAGCCATTATTACCCGTTTCCCACAGTAAAGAAAACACTGGGAGCCGCAGCAGCCGCGGCGTTGTGGGCGGGGCCTACCCTCAGACAGCAGAGAGCTGCTTTAACCAATCACAACAGGTGACAGCAGCCAGTACCGGTCGCTCGTGTACGTCAAGTTATCTTTCATAAGACGATAATCAATAAAACGATTTATATAAAGTGGATCCAGAAGTTGTAGCCCGTCTCTGCCTACAATATTTTGATATTTTTCACCCTGTTGGTGGTTTTACTGAGCAGGTGCCACTTTTATCATACGTTTCTTTTTAAAACATGTTTAGACTGTTCAGAATACAAATCCAGGCTCTGTCACGTTTTATTGTTGTAATTAAACTTTGTAGGTGGGGAAGGTCAGAAAAGGATCCGATCATTTTGTTTTTCCCTCATTTACAGTGACTGAGACAACGGTGCAGTGTGCCTGGCTCTGGTGTTAATCAAGTTAAATTATATCTCTTTGCAACAAGTTTCACAAGAAAACAGAACAGTTAAAAGCAGGGGTTGTGTTGTGTTGACCGGACAGTTCCCGGATTTGACCGTTTATTTTGACGGAGAAAGAATAGAAAGAATTACCCCGACACATGCAGACGAACTGACATTTTATTCGTTACACACATCGCAGATGTAGCTAAATCACTCAAGAAAAGATTCCCATCTGAACATCTGAGCTGGACACTGCTCAGCGCAGCTCGCTGTCAGCGCGTACATACGGTGCACAGCGAGCTGAAGATGTGGAGAGGGGCTTGGAGCGCATGCAGGAAGATTCCTCCGACTGAAGCGAGACTTGTCACTTAGAAAATGTTCCCCGATTATGAAACTTTGGCTGAATAGCGCTTGTTCCTGTCTCCAATGTGGCAACGGATCCAGGAGCCTGTCTGAGGAGAAGCCCAGAATCTCACATCCTCGTCAGCTCAGAAAGCGCATATGATTACGCACAAGCGTGACCCGTCACCCCGGTCTCACAGTAAGACCGGGTTGGAACTGTTCAAGTTTACGCAGACAATCTTTACATTTAGAATTGGTATACAGATGTAAAATTAATGCAGTAAAATATAAAGCATTTTATTTAAACATCCATTAATTATTTTACAAGCACAGAGAGCCGCATCAGATGGATGGAAGAGCCGCATGCGGCTCCAGAGCCGCGGGTTGCCGACCCCCGCCTTAGCCCAAGCTACTGCTAATATTAGCCCAGGCTACTGCTGACACTACCTGAGCTACTGTTAATGTTAGCCTGATGTATTGCTAACATCTTTTTTTGACGAGAGGAGAACAACAAAGAGCACTTATCATATCCCAGAATGAACTGGAAATATCCTGACTTTGAATGAATGCCTGACAGAGCCATAACTTGTGGTACTTGTCCTCTTCCTTGTTCGTCTGACTTTGGCCGGACACCCACCTCCTTGTTTGAATGCACACCTGCTTTACTACACAATTGGGTTGGCCATTTTTCAGGCCTTCTGGGCCATTTTGATCTCCAACAAAGTTTCATAAGCTATATAGAAGCTCAACGAGCAGTTTCCGCAAACAAAAATTGTTCTATGACACCTTTAACACCAAACAATCATTCCATTCCGATTATTAATTTCCCATATCAGGTTACAGATTTTATAAATAGTATCTGATTTTCTGCAAAGTATCAAAATGATTTTTTTTTCAGATGATATCGTAAAAATAAAAATTTCTTTCCCAAAACTGAGCTGAAGTGAATGAATTAGACTGCCCTCTGGAAGTTAGTCAATGCTCATTTATTATAGTAATACGTCAATCCCAGATTATTGTTAAGTTAGGTCAAAAGATAGAGGCAGTATGTTGACAAACTTATTTTTTTCGTTAAAAAGAGTAGCTTCTATGTGCAGCAGCATTGGGTATTAGTATGGATGTTAAACCTTTACTGCTCTGGATAATTCAGTTGTGTGTGCAGACAGAAGGCTAAAGTGAAAAGACATCAACAGAGAAGCTAATATTGCTTCTTATCAGCCTGAGAAGGTGGTAAACAATGAAGACGCTTTGCTGTCTTCCCAGGAGTGGGAGTCACGGCAAATTCACCCCAAGGTCAGCCTCTGCAGTGCTCTGAGAAGCCTCTGTAAACTCAAAAGAGACATCTCAGACTCTAGATGCCTCATGGCAGTGCAACTAAGAAAAAAGCTGAACAAGCTTTTTTTTTTTTTTTTTGGTTTGCTTTGGAGAAGCTGTTCGAAAAACGACTCTTTTTCTGAAACAAACATGGAAGGACAGCTTAGGTTAGCTAAATCAGGAACTATGTCTAAGTGTTAGCAGTGGGCCAAAACTGGGTCATACAGCAGGACCAATGATCAGTTTCATCACTGGATCTAAAATGAATGCATTCAACTTCAACTTATATGTTCTACACTGAAGGTCTGTGTTAACCAGATCTTCTCTCTCATGATCATGCAGGTTCTGTCCTGTGCATGACTCCTGCTAACAGCATTGGTAGGTCCTTTCCTTATGTTCTTTATACTGTTTCTCCTTATCTGCCACTATGAGAGATGATTCTACATCATAAAATTTTTAAATGTTTTTAAAGATATGTTTATTTTTTTCCTGCTTTGTGGCACTTTTGTGTGCTTTTGGGTGTTTAATTTCCTCTAATATTTCAAATGTAGAAATGCCATCACTTTGATAAATTTGTAGATTTGCCTTCCGCCACTGGAATAAATTAGAAAATCTGATCAGCCTCTTTGAGATTTATCCCTCTAAACATTCCACTGGAATAAAAATCTTTAACATGTCTATGTGGGATGTTGTTTATGATCAGATTTTCTAATTTCATTTCTTATCAGCTCTCCCTTTATGTCCTCCCCTGCTGTCTCGCTTTGCTGTGTGATCACATGCCATCTGCTGGTCTAACCCAATGATGGCTTGCCGCTACTCTCATTTTATATTTGCCTGGCAAGAGAAAGAGAAACATTGCTATGGTTACCATAATGCTCCACCTCCCTTTTCATTGCTTTCATGGTTCCCCTCCTGAAAAAGTCCCCATGATGTACAGTGCTACGCCTGCTACTGTTTCTGCAGCAACTACTCCTGCCACAAGTGTCCCCTACGCAGCAACAGCGCCAGCCAATCAGGTTTGCTTCTTTTTAAAGCTTTCTGTCATAAATCCTTGAGCTCTTGATAAGTGCTTCGTCTCTAAATCAGGGGAGTTGCTCAATCAGCGTCGAGGTGCCCTGCTTGCTTTACAGTCATACAGCTTCATACCTGTAGATCTTTAGCACAGCTGCTTGACTGCATTTTATTTATTTTATTACAAAAAACTTACTGAGATTTCTTTCACTTGCAAAACAAAATGGCGTTGCATTTATTCTTTGTTGCATGTTTGCTTTGTTTGTTGTCATTTTGTTTCAGTTTTAAGGTTAGATTAGATTCCACCATTCAGGCGTGTGTGTGTGTGTGTGTGTGTGTGTGTGTGTGTGTGTGTGTGTGTGTGTGTGTGTGTGTGTGTGTGTGTGTGTGTGTGTGTGTGTGTGTGTGTGTGTGTGTGTGTGTGTGTGTGTGTGTGTGTGTGTGTGTGTGTGTGTGTGTGTGTGTGTGTGTGTGTGTGTGCATGAGGTTTTTATCACGAATAATTTATTATTTTAGTTTAATATTTCCAGTTTTCTTTAAGCTTCTACTTGTTTAGTAGCAATTTGACAACTGGAAAACAGAATTACATTCATGTGTCTTCATGTTTTTAAGCATGCAATAATCAATTACAGATTAATGGGTTAATATAGATTGTACAGCTCTACATGAATGGGATTAAGTCTAAATCAGAGGTGTCCAAAGTGTGGTTTCGGGCCGTGATTTCATGACCTGGCAGAACCAATTCATGTCTGAAACGTTCCCGGTGGGAAGGGACACACACCTAAATTTTTGGTAAAATACGTCTATTTTGTTACGTGCTGCTTACGCAGCCAGTGGAAAGGCTGTGTTATAGCGCATCGTCCTAGGCCGACCAGTTGTTTTGAGCCCACGTTTCATTTCGTGCTGAGTTGACTACTCACCCACCTATGCATGTGCGATTCAGCAGCAAACTGGATGTGGTGATGTAAATATCTTCTTTGACTGCAGCTAGGACCGGAGCTACAGCAGCGTGAGGACTGACCGTCTGCTGTGAGCGCTCTTAGATAGGAGCCCACGGCAGCACCGCTGCTCAACGATTAGAGTAGGAAGCTGTTTGCTTCGTGCTCACGCCCACTATTTTTTACTAACTTGTGGCACTTAGGAATGACTCCATGCCATTTAACGGGCCCGCCATGTCCGTGCCCATGGCCACGTTCCTGAGAAGGCTGTGTAAACTTCTCGGGCCTAGTGGTTGAGTGTCCGTCCTGAGACTGGGAGCTCGGTGTTCAAATCCAGTCGGGTCATACCAAAGACTTTAAAAATAGGACACTCCCCTTTAAGGGGTTGGATTTGGGGGGTTAAACCAGCAAACAGTTCCCGAGCGCAGCCGCTGCTGCAGCTCACTGCTCCCCACAGGGATGGGTCAAACATTGTGTGATGACCAATGGGACATTAAACACAACTTGGCCACACGGAGACGGGCTATCTCCACCCGGCTCAAGCTGAGCTGACCGAAGTGTAAATGTGCCAGTTGTGAGTTTGCTCGACTCCTGATTACATTTACAGAAAAGTTTCATTTTGACTCCTTAGCAAAGGCTGTTGGTGCAGATAAATTGTTTATTTTATTTCTCTTCATATTTTTATAAGTGTGAGGCCTAAAAAAGTGCAGAGAAAAAAAGTTTTCAATTGAAAAAGTAAAAAATACATTTTTAATTAGGGCAGATATATGAGATTCCATTCAGTCACTACATGCTTATTTATTTTGTGTATTTTTAAACAGGGAAAACAAAAAATTTAGAATGAAGTCATTTTAGCTTTTTGTTTATTAAAAAAAATTTCAAATGTTTCAGGCCTGCTAGTACTTGGCCCACTTCTGGAAACATTTGGACACCACTGAACCTTTGATGGATGCTTCTTTTTACTTCCCAACACCCTCATATTAAATAAAAAACATCAAAAATGCACGGGGTGCTTCTAGGGTGTGGAGCGATTGTGAGTACCTCCACTGCTCTTCAGTTTAGGGATACAAGCTTTACAAAAAAAACGTTCATCCTCCTGAGTGCCTCAGGTCCTTTTCTTTTTTGTTACCCTCATATTATAATTTGATGCCTGTGACTTTGGGTTTTAAAGAGCATGCGTGTTTTGTGTTTAAAAAATCATTTAAGCACCTTTTGTATGAAACTTTTCCATGACTCTCCTTTGCCTCTGCAACAGATCATCCTCAAGTAACCATCAGAAACAGAAGCCGGTGCCGTGTCGCTGCTGCCTCTGCTAACGGCCCCGAGCAGCCACTCTGTAAATATTCAGTAAACGTCACACACAACCTGCAACAGGCTGCATGCTGAGAAAACATCGCCACTGAAAAGACACGCCAGCTCAGCTTGGAGGGTTGCGTTGCAATCACAGAAGACTGTTGTAAGTGCATGCCTTGGCACCTGTGATGGCGTGCGTTCTTAGTAATAGTGGCTTCCTGATGGAGCCCAAGATTAAGCCATCATTTTACATTCTGTACAAGAGCCTGTTGAATAACAAAACATATAGCTCAACTATAGAGGCAACAAAGTATGTAGATTTAAAGAAGAAATGATGGTGGATCTAATCTGAGGACAGAAAAGATGTAAGAGGGTTAGATGTAAAAAAAATAATGTCACATTTTTGAGATTGTCCTTCTTGTTCCTTCCTGAATGTGTTGCGTTGTTCGCTGTTCCTCAAGATGAGATTTGAATAATGAAATCAAAGCCAGTGGAAAGCACTTATTTTAACTTTACTCATCATGTCATGAAGCTAGTTTTTATAGATATCCCTTTAAATAGCTCAGAGCGGTCCCCAGAGAACTGGATCAGTGCTCCACCTCTTGGTGTGCCTTTGTACTGCAGGTCCTGATGAGAACTCCCCAGTGGTTTAATATTGGACGTATTCATAAATAAAATTTAATTTTAACAAGTTAATACAACATTTAGACATTTTCTGCTCATAGAAAAAGTCACAGCAGATGTTAAACTCACTAAAGATGTTGTGGTCGTGTGGGCTTTATGTTGCAGTCAGGTGTCAGTACTGTATTATTTGAATGTTACAAGTGCCTACATGCAAATATGTACATGCAAATGAAGCAGATCTAAAAGAATTAGTGTAAAATCGGTTCATTTTTAATGTGCTAAAGCAGACATCAAAGATAAATGTCTTTTTTTTTTTTTTTTTTTGCAAGGCCATGGCAGTGCATTAGTAACGTTTGAGAATCTGATCAGATTTTAGTCTTAAAGGAGACATAACATGCTTTTAAGTTATTCCTTTTTACATCTAAATCATTCAGTTGGGGGTCTAAATACAGTGGAACTGCAGTTCTTTGGTCTGATTTCCTCATCATTGTTGCTCTACAGACCCTCATCTACCCCTGTTCTGAGGAGAGTCTTGAGAACGAGCCGTTTTTGGGTACTGTCTCTTTAAACTGGAGGAGGAGCTGTAAACTCCGCCCCCCTCCATAGTGCAGACCTGTACTCTCCTCCCCAGTCGGACTTTGTAGTTCTATAGAGAAATCATTATTTAGCATAGCAGATTTAGCATAGCATATTAGCATTTTTAAAACATGTGGGGAGGGTAGTTCATCAAGCTGTTTCAAGGCTGCTAACTCTCTCATGCATTTGTCTGTAGTCACACACACACACCCGTCACTGCCGACGGAGGGACCAGCTAGCAGGCACGTGCGCGCGCGCGCGCACACACACACACACACACAAGGAATGCTGCTTGCTTATTTATTTCTATAAAAAATGTTTTAAAAAATGATACAGCTCATTAAAACACCATTAAAAGAATACATTTTATTAAGATCTCTATCTAAATATATACATACATATAATTATAAATAATTTTATAAGTGGTCTTATTTTATATTGGGTGTCTTAATGGCTGAAAATGGATAAAAAGCAGTTACATTTTAATTTAAAGATTTGAGATTCGAGTCAAAAATAAAGAACATTCCTCCAAATGTTCTTTAATGTGATCATTATAATTCTAATGCTTACAACTTTGTTTTTATTGTCTGCAATGCGTAGCCTATATCTTTATTAAATGTGTTTAGCTGAAAAGTGGTAATTCTCTCTAATGTGTACAGAGAGGTGGACATCAGTGCTGCAGTGAAATTCCCAGGATCAGTCTGCTTTGCTAACAAATATAGTTAAATCTTACCTGCATTCTAAATAAATACCGTTAGGTGAAAACATCAGTAGGCATTGAGTTATTGATACAATCCCTAACAGCCAGAATGGAAGAAGTGCATGCTGGGTCATCCTGGATCTGAGCCTGTTCTGTGTATTTACCTACAGGATGCAATAAATGTCTACAAGGCTGAGTTTGGACCATTACATCTAAAAGAAAACATACAATCAGTGATTTTTTTAAATTGTTTACATTAATATACAAATGTTCTAAGTATTAACCTCACAGCAAATAAGTAGAACTATATAATAAACAGGCTTTAGTAGTTAAACAGGCGTTGTGCACACAGGTGCTTTGTGTCTCGGTGCTGGTGGTGTCTAGGTCTCAGAGTTCCTGTCCTCCTGCCGTCTTCTGTTGTCCTCAGGATACGGATTGATGTTTCCTGATGATGAGGGAGGGGCAGTATGTGGGCTTCAAACTGGTCCTGGATAACAGTGGGAGACCTCCGTTGTCTGAATACTGAGACCAGAGGGTTGGTGAGATGCAGATCTTCTCTACCTCATCTAGAAACGGAGTTGGTTCAGGGAAAACTTTTCCAAAGACCAGTTCCATGATGTCATCGCCATATTCTGCAATGATAGACGATAACTTTAATGACATATTTTGTTTACAAGCAGCTTTAGGAAAGTTGTTTCTTTAGCTTTCATGTTTATAGTCACGTTTGTGTTTGTTCACAAGTTCACTTTGCTGCAGTGACTTCATATTCTTACAAATGTAATAAAATAGTGACACTAAAATTATACAAATGATTCCTTATGAAAGGAAGCTCATTAGAGAGCAGCGCAGACAGACTTACTACATGCTGCAGCTGTTTTTACAGGCCAGCTGCTGCTGAATTTGGGGAAAGTTATTCTGCACACATCCAGATCAGATGGTCGATTACAGAAAATAATGTAATTCAATAATTTCTAAACAGATTAAACAAGTAAAACATCAAATAAATCACTCTGCTGTCATCAGACGGAGTGATTCAGGGGGTGAGGTGTTCTTAATGATGAGGGTGGCTGAGGTGTGTCATCACTCACTTTGGTCTGGTCCAGACCGTCTCTTTACTGGTGGGTCTCCTTCCTCAGTAGGTGACGTGAAATGCCAACATCTGAACGTTCTGTGTTCCTTAGAGGAGAAGAAAAGTAACATTAGCAAGCTGGCTAAATTATTTTTTACTAGCATCTCGGAGAAGCAGATCTTCACTTACCTAAACATCAGACCAGTTTGTCCCAGCTGAGCTCATCAGGGCTTTAGTCTGACAGCCTGTCAGTGAAACACGGCTCCAGTCTTCTGGATGTTGACTCTAAAAAGCAAAGGAGCATTTTTACTTTTGTTTTACAGCCGATTTTATCAGCTTTCCGACGCTCACGCTCATACAGACGGTGAGCTTTGCTGCGTCTGACTGATAAAGTTAGTTTTTATATCTGCAGTGAGACAAAAAACTAACCTCACTCCACTCAGAGATTGTTCTTTAAAACTATTAAATCCACTGTGTTGACGCACTTTAATGACTTTGTCACGCTGCATTTTAGCTGATATGGGACTTTATTTACTGGATGCTAAGATTACATCACACTCACGTAGAATAACACACAGGCTCTCTGCTTCTACAATCAGTGGGAGGTTATCATCTGGTGTAAAAGAAGGCGTTGATCAGAAATCACGTTTTATTCCACGAAAATCAGCAAAATCCACATTGATCTGGGTGCTAACTTTACTAGCGATAGCGATAGCAAGCCGGATGCTAACGCTTTAGTGCTGCTAATGCCCGTAAATCTAAAGTAAAGTTTGTCGACATTTTAGAGTGATATGAAGCTTACCGCTCTGCTGCTGTGTCCCGGTGCTGCCACATTCAGATGCAAATGACTCCTTTTAGATAGATGAAGCCCTCAGTACTTACTAGCCTGGAGACAGGAACGAACGAACCACGCGCGCGCGCGCGCACACACACACACACACACACAAACACAAACACACTACTTTTTCTTCTGTGTTTTTTTAGCAGTAGTGTCATCAGCTCCTGGGTTTAAATACTGCCACACCACCCTTCCTTAAAACGAGGAACAGTTTTGAGCTGTGTGTGGCTAAAATAACCAGACATTCTGCATTTTTCCAATAGGACTACAAAAAATCTTAGCGAGAAGAAAAAATGGCGGATTGGCTCTGTGTTTAGCCGAGGGCCATTACCATATTTGGTAGTTATCCTGACTAAATTAATTACTGACGTAATGGATAATGTAAAAACTGAACGGGTGGACAAATATGCCCAAAACTTAATTATTAAATATCTAAATAGCAACTCCAGTGAATAATATAAGCCTTTTTGCTCACTTAGACACTTAAAATGTGAAACACACTGTGTTAATGGATAAAAAAGTGGGTTTTTCATGTTATGTCTCCTTTAAAATGATAATTTCTCTGTGGTGTGGAAATGTGTGTGTGTGTTATCTTAAGAGCTAAAAACCAGTTTAACCTGTTTTTATTTCACTTAGTACCGGTAGATAAGAACGTTGGTGTGTACAAACCTTTACTTCAATGTTATCTTTTAAAGATTTAGCATTTGTTCACTTTTTTTCCTGTAGTTTGCTTTTAACGCGTCATCAGTAGATACTATTATGACTACACTTGCTTATTTTATTAGCTAAGGACACTTTTAAATGTATTATCTTACATTTTGAGATGAATGTAATTTATTAAACTGACTTTAGATTGGATAAGTACATTTCAAATACCTTTATCTGTTGTTTTAGCCTCTGAAAAGCTGTTTTTGTGTCCAGGGATTAAAGGTTGAGGAAGCTGAAAGCATCCCAGACCTGCTTCTGACTCGTTACGTGTCAGGGATCATGAACTGTTGCAGAAACAGGAACACAGAATGGCTTGTGCAGCAGTGCATTGCACAAATTGTATAACCATGTGATGCTAAAACAGTTTGTCATTGATTATTAATTATTATTTGTATAGCACTTTTCTTAAGAATGTTACAAAGTGCTTTATGAGAGGATAAGTGAGTTAGTTCAGATGGTTTATTAAAAGTATGACAAAAAAGTAACATTTAAAGTTGCTGCAGAAAGAAATCTAAAGTTCCTGTTATAGAATATTTTCCTGACTTGTTTAAAATGTCCTGCAATTTGCAAACCGAGATTCTCAAACTGAATTAATTTTTGCATCCGAATGGGACAAGTAACTAAAACAACCTTCCGCTTTCTATTTTAATTATTAACATAAAACTGAAAGTTCACTCTGTTCAGTAAAATATGACACGGCAATGCTCATTTCAAGTCTGTTGAGGGATGAATTTATAATCCAGCAGCTGTTTAAAGGTGATTACTTTAAATTTCAGCTGGTTTTTATTTTACATGCGCATGCTTAAGGTAAAATTCTGAATGTTTTACTATCTTAATGGTAAAACAAAATGGTTCATATTTCACTAAAAATGTAATAAGATTGTTTTGTAAAACTCACTGAGTGTCTGCACTTCTCCAACAGTCAGACGACTAAAAGGAAAAGACTTCTTAAACTCTGCCTTATCTTTTGGTCAGTTATAAATTCCACCTTGTTTCATAAAAATTCATTTTTCCTGAATATTTTAGATAAATTTTAACTAAGTTTGCGAAGATGATTGTATAACAAACACAAATAATATGCCGATATGTTGATAGGATTGTCCGTTGCCTATAGTTACAGAGTTAGCCGATTGCTGAAGCAGCCATGTTGGTGCCATTAGGTTCCATTTGATGTGAGTCGCTCTATGAATTTTAACAATATTTGTGCATAGTTAAACATTTCATGTGGACCGTTTTGTTCCTGTTAACTCTAAATTGTGTGAAATCTGATATACTGCAAATAAATAAGTCATGTAAAAGCAAGGGTGTGTGTGTGTCCTCCGCATGTGCCCTAGCTTCAAAATAATGATGCGCTCCGAGCTTCAGCACTCAGACCTGTGCACGCTGTCAATAGCAAGATATGTATTTGATCATTTTTATCGGTGTTGGAGAAATCTGAAGGTGGTGAGTCATTCTGGCAGATTGTAATTAACACCTGTCTCATGCAGGTGTTCTGACATTGCAAACCTCACACACAGAACATTGTGTATGTAACAAAATAAATAAGAAATGACTCCCATCTGAGCATTTTAGCATTATTATATTATTATATTAGCACACTGACGGTGGGACAGCATTCTAAACGTGTCAGGCTATTAACAGCGCGCTGAAGATCTGAAGTTCAGAGTGCTTCTGTCGGAGGTCAGACGCGGAACCACGGCTCACAGGTGCATGTGAGCACATCTGGGCTGGGCAGAAGTAATTTTACAACATTGGTTTAAATAGTGCCAATAACGAGACACAGTGACTTGAGCGGCTCATGGAGCTGTGCCGCACACACACACACACACACATACTGATTCAACAAGCGCATGCTGCGCTGTGCCGTCAGACTGAAGGAAGAAATTAGGGCTCTGGTTAAACGTTCCTGCTTTAAGAAAACCGTTAAATTGCATTGTTTATGTGCTACCTGGGCACTCTAAATATTGATTTAAAATTAAATCAAAGGAAATTGTAATGGTATTGAATGTTTATTAATTACGATTTCAAAAATAATACATAAACATAAAAATGAAAGTGATGGGGAAAAGGGTCGATCATATTTTTTTTAACCCTGTCTGTTGAGTGACTGTTTAGCGTGACGTCTGATATATATATATATGTATATATATACACACACATACATACATACATACAATGCTCGATACCAAGAGTTTTCCTATCAGTTTGTGAGAAAAAGAGGCCAGAACACAGAGGGTTAAGCAGCATCCATGAAGCATGCTCATAGTATTAACCAATGGCAACGCGAGGCGGCGTGGCCATGGCAACAGCATCCGGTGTTGTTTTCCTTTTTTTCTCTCTACTCTTGGATACGCATCCTGGAGCTGCCCTTGTGATTGGCTGAGCTCTCTTTGGATGTCACTGGGGCAACCGAATGATGGGAAGTTTAACACATGAACGGAAATGTCGGCGCTGAATCTCACTGGCTGCCTGTGATCGGCTCCCATTCGGCCTCCTGTGAGAAGCACAACTGCCGAGGCGACCATTGGGTTGTTCTTACGTCTGTCTCATGAAGGAGGTTCGTTTTTTTTTTTTTTTTTTTTTTGTATTGGGTACGGAAGCCGAGCGGGGACCGGCTGGTTTCGCAGTGGCCGCGGATCTCCTCCACCCGAGAGTATGGCGGCTGGAATCGCTCGGGATAGCGTGGGAGACGCGGAGGCATGCCCGAGAAGGCAAAAAAGAAACAAGAGGTTCCTGTGAGGAAGAGTCGGGGCAGTTTGAGTTTGTGTTTAGTTCTGGACTGGTGACAGTCTAGAGATTGAGCCTTTAGTTGAATCTCAGCTAAAGTGTGTGTGATTTTTTTTCTTTTTTTCCCCCCTCCAGCATCCTCGATGGAGCAAGTTTGTTTTTATGAAGCACACAGAGGGTGAGCTAAGCAGATGAAAACGGTATTCGTCCTCCTTCCTCTGCACGTTTTGGACAGCTGCAGTCCTCGTTTGCGCGTGTCGCTGTCAGTCTCTGGCCTGCAAATGGGGGATTTCTACCCAGAAATCCACGTCGGGGCACCGAGTCTTTGTGCTCTGCCATAACAGCTGAGCCACCGCGCGCGAGGCACGGGGACAAAAATGGGACGCGGATGGTGAACGCGATCGCTCATTTCAATGTCGCGCCGAGACTGATTGCCTACTGATTGATTGAATCCACAATGCGCGAGTATAAAGTTGTGGTCCTGGGCAGCGGTGGGGTCGGGAAATCAGCCCTCACTGTGCAGTTCGTCACCGGGACGTTCATCGAGAAGTACGACCCCACCATAGAGGATTTTTACCGCAAAGAGATCGAGGTGGACTCCTCGCCCTCGGTGCTGGAGATCCTGGACACCGCCGGTACCGAGCAGTTCGCCTCCATGCGGGACCTGTACATCAAAAACGGACAAGGATTCATCCTGGTCTATAGCCTGGTGAACCAGCAAAGCTTCCAGGACATCAAACCGATGAGGGATCAGATCATAAGAGTAAAAAGGTGGGTGCAAAACTAACAAATGCATGTCGGAGATGACATTTCATTCTTATTATTAATGACCTTTTGGGGGGTTATTTAGTTTCAGGGCCTGGTGAACTAAACCTCGCCTACAGCTGCTGTGCCTTCATCCTCTGTATCAAACAAGTGATTTTTCTAGACTTTATGCCATGTTTACCTTCAACAGGACTGATCCGAGGCCAGTCGCAGCATGGTAAATACACCAAGCCAGATGCTGCAACCGCTGCAAAAATACTCAGGAATACCCAGGATTCAATGCTACTGAAGCTCTGCAGAGAGCTTCAAGGAAAGAGCAGCTTTTGCTAAACTGTTGGGTTTGTTTGTGAGGGGGGGGGGGGGGGGTAGTACCCGCCAGCCTGGTTCTGCTGAGGAAAGACCATACAGTTTTTAATCCCCACAGAAGGAGAAGGCAAAGATTGCCTGATGTGCCTGCACTGATGGTCCAGAAGTGATGTCATCACGGAGAGCTGCTGATTGATTCAGGGTTGTGTTTTGGTTTGCTGCTTTGTTCATGCTTGCCGGCTGACTTTGCATGATGTCATAAACCCTGCTGAGAGCTTAAATGTGCAGTGTCATGGATGCTCAAATGACCATTCCTGTATGAGCTCTGATGGTGGACGCATTAAAATCGGCTTATGCCTTGTAATATTTAGTGATACGGCTAATTAATTTAGATGATCCTCAGCATTTGGACAGAGCAGCTGAATCCAGCCTTAGTGCGCTGATTTGGTCTCAATTCTGACCACCCTGGAAAAACCTGATCTATTTTTTTTGTCTCCACAAAAAAAAAAAAAAACATTAACTAGAAGATGCCTATCTCTCATTTCAGCTTTTATCACCTCACTGGATTTTACAAATCCCACCAGCACCTATCTCCCCTTACCAATAATATTAATGTGTGGCTCTGTTTGAAAGAATGAGGCCAACATGTTTCCCCCACATGAGTTAAAAATACAGCAAAAACAGGGTATGTTCAATCTGTGAGTGTGTGTTTTAAATGTAGATGTGTGCATGATCACACAACAGATAGAGCCAGGCTGTTGTGTGTGATTTCACACCAAATATGTTGGAGAATCTGGTGGTGTTTTCTAATATCACACTAGAATTTATTTATTTATTTATTTATTAGTGGAACAAAAACATGAACATTTTACACACTACTCCAACACAGCTGTTCATTTTAAAACTCCATGTTTTGTGCAGATTTGAACACTTAAAATCTAAATTTAAGTGAATTTTTTTTGTTTGTTTGTTTTACCTTTGATCTCATGATGAAATGACCTCCTAACAAATGCGACACATATCCATTGGTAGTGTTGCGATTTACCTGTTTGTATGTGTTGTAAATATTCAACCTCTACCACACCAAATGTTAGCTATGTTTAGCTTACATGTACAGAACAGGCAAAAACATTATAAACACACTATAAAAGAATAAAGCAGCATGCGTGTAAAAATCAAACATAGTTTAAAAGTAGGGGTGGGAATTTAACGATTAATGAAAAATATTTATGCGTTAAAAAATTAATGCTTGAGCCCGAGCATTCCCCAATTGTGGGCCAAAGATTAGCATAGCCATTTATCCTCTATATATCAAAAAATAACATCAAGCACCATCTCTAAAGAAGCTGCAGAGCCTGGGCTACAAGACCATACAACCCTGTTTTACGTGCTCCAAACACAATTGATGCGATTATGGCAAATCACTCTTCAGAAAGAAAAGAAAAAAAGAAAAAATAATTGACTTTTAATTTTCTGTTTTCTAGTCGGTAGAAAGCATGCAGGTTGTAACTTTATTACAGCAGGAGGGACAAGTGGACATGCAGCATTCATCTTGTAACTCTCAGCAGAACTTCCCCTGAACTCTACACTAAACCTCTATTTAAATAAGCTGTGCTCTGCTGCCACCCAGTGTTCATTTCAGTACACAACATTTACAATGTTCCTTGTCCATTTTACACTTCATCAAAAACACATATACTGATATTTACACATTCCAACAAATCCTACAATGGTTACCTTTACAATGAGACCAAAGTAATCAAATAGACCAGAAATGTACTCATTTAAGTGCGGGTATGTCACCTGTGCTTCACTTACATTATTTTAATTTTACAAAATGCGTGGGGAAAATTGTCTTGAATGCTTAAAATGTGATTAATCAAGATTAATTAATTACAAATCTTCTGGTTAATTTGATTATTTTGTAATCAGGTCCCACCCCTATTTAAAAGATAACATGTTTACATCTACACAAACCCCTGTGCAAAGGTGCTGCAAACACTGGATATACTCCAATGATTGTTGCTATTAAAGGTGGAATCGACATTCTTGGAAAAAGTCACTCAAGCTACATTTTGAAAAACAATTCAAAGGCCCAACCTCTTTTCTGAGACTCCCCACTAGGGTCACAGAATGGGGCATTGAATGCAGAGCTGCCTAGTGTATTGGATGGAATGCCCGGCATTCCATCCAATACACTAGGCAGCTCGGCTCTGGCTTTGCTTCCTGTTCGGCTGCTCCAAGTCAAGAGCGAGTGATTTGTGCACATAGAGAGGTATTTGAGGAGAGGAAGACACATTCAAAGGAGCATTTTGATGGATAATGTTTGAATATGTTATTTTCTAGGATTGTACGTTTCAGATGCGATTCAAGTGGTTTAATTTTTTTGACAACATATTTAAATTATTGGATATCATCAGTATGGGAAATGTCTTTCAAGCACAATGCCCTAGAAAAACATCTCAGGCTCCACCATCAATTGGCATATTTGGCTTTTTTTTTTTTTTGTAGTTTTAATGTTCAGCCGCTTTGTTGAGACTTCTGTTAGTATCATCTCTGCTCCTGCTTCAGTTTTGCCACAAAGACACTGGTGACAGTTGCATCACAGAGAAATCAGAGAGCTTCATGATAGCATCAGAAAATTGGGACTTTTTATTTTTTTGTTTTTGTTTTGGAGACACTGATTGTTGTAAAGGTTGGACATGTCTGATATATTAAAAAGCTGAGGAAGCGTCTATGGTGGATTGTTCTTGTGTTTCGATGCCAGAACACTGATGACCCGTCACGGCCATATTGGCTGAGGTTAGAGGCACTGTTGTGTGTCGCTCTCATTCCGGACCCAGTCAGCATCCATCAGTGCCTGCTGATAGCATCTCAGAGGCCATGGGCACTCGTGATTACACCCTGGACTGCCCCGTATTTCTCCTGGATGTCATTATTCCTCCCTCTAGCTGCATTTCAGTTTACATGAAGCAAAGATTGTGATTGGTGAATCAGCTGAAGACAAGAGGTGAAACAGGGAGCCACATCAACCCAGGGTGATAGCTCTGCTGTCCAACAGCCATGCTGTTGATGCTGATGCAACTCCTGCTCAATGTGCGTTTTGCCATTTCAGCACCCTGAAAAACTTGTCATTTGATGGCTGTTTGATCTGTCATCTGGTTCAAAGGTCACGGAGCAGTTGCCTGTCTTTGTTTGTTGTGAAAAATGCAGAAAGCTAAAGGTCAGTAAAGATTACTTAACAGTTGACCTGGCACACAGATGCTGTGTTAAAGGCCTCAAGCTGTGTGCTGTGGTTCAAGTTAAACTTTTCAGGAAATGCCTGAAACAGAGCTGGAAACAGCAGGGTTTCCCTTACGTAGCCGTGGCAGCCCGCCACGGCTGAAATCCCACCGCCACGCCTACAAGATCCCAAGTTTTTTTTCTTTTTGTTTTTTTTTTTGCGCCGTTTCCCGAAGAAGCAGCGGGAACTACAATGTTGTCGCTTGTGATCACAGCCGGCGGGCAGCAAGCAGGGCAAGGTGAAGTTACAGCATAAGTTACTGAGTTTAAAATTAGGAAGGTAGCAGTGGATATAATGCTTTTTGGTTTACATGTTTCAATAGCATTAAGATAAACGAGTGTTGACGATCTTGACAGGGTTTCCTCCAGTGCTTATTAGGCCAGGTTTTCCTCCCCCCACCAGGCTAAGCATCACTTATTCATGTAAAAAAAAAAAAATTTTCATGTCTGACTTTAACCGCATCTAATACTGTATTACGGCGTGAGCGCAACAGCAACAACTAATGGGCTCGTCACACGGGAGGCGACATCGCCTCTGCTCCATTCATTTTCAATGAGACATGCGCAGCAAAGCGATAATCGCGGGTCTCTCTCCTACCAAGGGAAACGCGAAAAACGTGCGTGTGAAATTTTGCGCTCCTGCACGTGTCGTGCACGGACGACCCAGCGACGCGATCCCAGAAAGTTGAAACATTTTCAACTTTTCATCGCTGTCGCTCGGACGAGGACCAATCAACGGAGGTTTCATTCACTGACCAATGAGCGGGCAGGATGCTCCATACACCTCCGAGCAAACATGGAGGAGAAGTTGATTATTATTATGTTTTATATAGTAAAATCAGAAGTAAGATTTCACATAACTCTAGCAGCACCTTGTGAAACATCATATCTACCACTTTTTAAACTCTGAACCGCTTAAATAACCTTAATTCCCTCCAACCTGACACAGCCAAACAAAACAACGGAAGTTTCAATTTCGCCATGGAGCAGAACGCGTAGACTGCTTTGCCGCTGGCCGCTGCCGCGGATCGCCTCCCGTGTGTCAGGTAATAAAAGCCACAGCGACAAATTTCGCTGATCGCAGTCGTTTGTCCCCTCCCGTGTGTCGAGCCCATCATGTGAAATCTTACTTCTGATTTTACTATATAAAACATAATAATAATCAACTTATCCTCCATGTTTGCTCTTTGCTCCTAGGGGAAACACTGAACAGTCATACAGGAGAACCTGTCTAGCTTTTAATGGTGATACAGCTTCAGTCCAGACTAGAATGTCTCACCATTGCTTAGGAAAAGTTCAGATATGTTTCAAGATCACACAGGTCTGATCTTTCCAGTCCTTTGATTTATGATTCAGTGCATGTAAATGTGAAATATTGAAGAGAGAGTTCAGATCTTTTGAAGTGGGCTTCTCTGGGA